GCGTCGGAGCAAATGTGCACGTGTGAACGCTCGACTGGATCTGTTTCGGCGCAGCGTCGGACCAAACGTTGCCGTGTGAACGGGGCTAGAGAGAGAGAGAGAGAGAGAGAGAGAGAGAGAGAGAGAGAGAGAGAGAGAGAGAGACACACACACACACACACACACACACACACACACACACACACACACACACACACACTGTATATGCTCTTATATATGCTTATATATGCTTTAATTTTTTCTGCAGCACCTCAGGCTTTTACAATCACCAACATCATGGCAATAATATGTAATATAGTACCGGTATATTGAGTTTGACACCTATGTGCTCGAGAAAAAAAAAGAGAGCAGATTAGGAATCAGCGCAAAAAAAAAAATCATGAAGAAACATTGACTTGCAGCTCTGAAAAATGTAAAAAAAAATGTTGACTGGTGTTATTGAAATAATTGTTAGTTCTGTACCTTCTGTTTACGAAAGCAATTTTTGCTGCGTTCTCTGTTGAAACTCCAACTGTGTCTTGGAGAGTCCTCTTTTTATAGTATTTTCCCCCTTCCCCATTATTGATAATGTGTCTGTTTCCTTCCAGATGTGCAATCATATCCTCCATACTTAAAGGACTTGATTCACAGCCAGCTTTGTCAACACCTGGGCCTTCGCGGGCCATGCTGCGAGGGAGGGGGCAGCGGCGAGCCGTCTCCCACGGCCGGCTCGCCGGACACGCTTCGCTCCAGCCTGTGCAGCGTCGACGAACACCACCCGCTTCTGCGCGACCTGAGCGGCCACTGCGCAGCCCACGGCAGCGCCGCTGAGCTGGCCGCTAAAATCCTGTCGGCGCTGCAGGGAGGGGAGGAGCTTCTGCTCGCCCGGCTTCAGAGGGTGGGGCGGACCGGGCCCGGCGGGAGGGACTGCGCTTTCCACAGCCTCGGAGGGAGCGGGCACGGCATCGGGCCTTGCGGCGGTCAGGAGTCTCCTGCGTATTCTGTGTCTTACTCGGAGACATATCTGTCCCCAGGGGAGGATGGCGACACCCCCTGCAAGGACTACGAGGCCACCTTGTGCCAGGCCGAGGCCAACGGGGAAGAGTTTCCGCCGGGTTACGAGCCCCGCAGGAGGATGTCAGACGTGGCCTCCTCGGGAGTCGTTTCGCTTGACGAGGATGAGGACGAGGAAACACTTCAGGGCGAGTCAAACCACCAGTGACTCCTCTCATGGCAGTGTTAAGCCCCCGCCTCCACTTTGCTCTTTGAGGTTCCTTGATCATGACATCAACGTTTGATCCAGAAATTAATTTTTTCATCCGTCTTTGCCTTACTCGCGCCGTCACAATATTTCAGCTCCATTTCCTAATTCTTACCAAAGTCATTCAACGTATGAGTTCTCTTCTTTTCCAAGCGTCCAAACAATCTTTTTCTGTGCTTGAGAACTCGAGTTGGTGGACTTGCTAGAGTAGCCATCGCTCAATGGAAGCTGCGGGTTTGATACGGGTGGATCCAGGCGCCGCCGTTCTTGCCTACGTCGAAAACTCCCCCCAAAAGAGATCAACAAAATGAATGAGTCCACAAGTCTGATTTTTTTCTTTGCATGTCTTTTGCAAGCGCTGACGCCGATGGTTTGTAATCTCAGCCGCTATTTATGACCCACCCGAACACACCGGCCTGACCACGCCCACAGGAGAACTCGACCTGTCCTGTCCCCTCCCCTTTGCAAGAGACAAACAAAAGCATCCTTTTGGCATGGCTTGCTGAGTATGCCAAATTACTTATTCCTGTCGCTACCATTTATGAGCAAATGCTGGAATGTTTTTACAGCGACAGGACATCTTATGAATTGAAAAAAGGAAAAAAAAAAACCCAAAAGATTTATCACAATGGATATGACAGAAACAAAATGTTTTTATTGTACTAGTTTTCTATCACTCATCAGTTGTTCATATTATATCAAATGTTGTTTTGAATGATGGGCTGGAATTCTGTGGATTCCTGCATGGAAGACACAAGAACTTTTTGGATGTCTTAAAATAACACATGCACGCACGCACGCACGCGCACGCTGAGCAACAGTGGCAACAACAAATACAAAGAGAATGTTTCTGAAGTGACCCGCTGGCTGGTGTGGACTGCGGAGTGAAGTGGGCCGAAAAAGACTTGCTTTGGAGATTTCTATATTTTTGTATCCGTTGTCTCGCTTTGATCTCTATGCCGATGCGGCGTGCCAGTGGGTTTTATGGTTTCTTGCACGACGCTCTAATGTGGCTGTACATTTCTCATTTTCTTTGTTATCACTGTGTGATATCGTCGACTGGTTCAGGCAAAAACGTGAACATGTTTCCTTGATTTTTGGTTTTCAAGGCCACGCCGAGTCTTTTACAGTTAGTGCCGACTGTCACGACCTAACTTTCAAAATGATGACGACTTTAGATCTATTCTTTCAACTCTTGGCTGGAACATTTGCAGAAAGGGCATGTTTGCGGGATTACGGTGGGAGATCTGTTCAAGTTCCCCCAGAGGGACTCTCATTCATACAGCTCAGGATGTCCCATCAGGCTACAGCGTCAGCGCATCGCAGCAGCATTAGCATGCATTAACACCATTCTCACATCCCTCCCTCGGCCTGTGTGTGTATGGGTGTGTGTGTGTGTGTCTGTGTGTGCGTGCGTGTCTTTGCATGTGGCAAGGCCTTGTGTGCTTCGTTTTCCATGTCATTATTAGTTTTTCCAAATAATTGAAGCACAGATTCGGCTCCCTTCACCCCTTTTCAGTTGTTTCGGAAACACCTTAATGTGTGAGTACACTAATTGTGCGTGTGTGTGTGTGTGTGTGTGTGTGTGTGTGTGTGTGTGTGTGTGTGTGTGTGTGTGTCTGTCTGTATAAGCATGATAAGAATTCTAAGATGTCAGCAAGCTCCTTAAGCTTGCACTGTTATGTCCAACGGTTCCCTTTAAATAATGTCTGGTGCTGGAGATGCTAAAATAAAAGTAAACATGAAGTATTTTATGTATAATGACCGAACGGTATATACTGAGGTTCATGTTGCCACATCTGCTGGACTGACAGCAAGAGACAGCGACAACTCAGGGGTAAACACTGAAGCGGTGCCTTCCACTCCTCACCTTTGACCTCCCAAGTTGCACCTTCCTCATCATCACCCCAGAGAGCCCCAGAAACCCCACTTTGCTGTTTGATTTCGATGCACCAAAGTAGAATGAAATGAGGTCGGCTGCCTCGCTTGTTCAAATATCCTGTTGCAACTCGTGCAGCTGTAGGACAGCAAAAGCAGCGTTTGGACGTCATCGCCCTTTCCCGTGACATTAGAAGTCGGCTGATGCGGACTTGTGCTTTTGTCCGGACATGGTGACGCCACCCACCATCCTGCTAGCTGTATTTATTAACTGTCCATCACACCCTTGTCCGAGGCTGTGTGTGTGTGTGTGTGTGTGTGTGTGTGTGTGTGTGTGTGCGCGCGAGGAGACGGAGCATCTGAGCATACTGCATTTTCTGGCTCATTTGTCTCATTCATTATACATTCACACACTGACTGATGCGTCTATGTTTGACAACGATTTGTCCTTCCAATGATAAAATCAGGAGAACTTTCCCCAACACACACACACACACACACACACACACACACACACACACACACACACACACACACACACACACAGCCGGCTTGAAGCCTCCTCTACTGTCTCTCTCCCGTCATTTCCTTCAGCCTCCTCATCTCCTTTCCACCCACCGTCTTTCTCTCCATCCTTTCATCCGCCTCCTCATCACCACCCTCCTCCTCTTCCATCTCGCCTCACAAGGGGCTCCATGTGTAACTCGGAGGACTTTTAAATGCTACCTTTGCTGACAGGCAATTAGCCCGCCATGAGAAAAACCACCCGATGAGAACTCAATGTGGATGCTATCGTTGTACGTCTGTCTTCCCGCCATCTCCCCCCACCCCCTCCTGGACAAGCAGTTTGTGGGAAGTGATGTCGTGATGAAGGGACATTTATGTGACAGCGGCAGTCCGACACAGTACTTTCTTCGATTGTGGCGGCCGTTCAACCCTGAAAGCCCAGTCCAATCTAGAAACTGAATGTACGAATTAAATCGAGAGGTCCTGATCCTTGCATGTAGTCAAGCCATGTGCAAGAAACAAAGTACAGAGAAACAGGGTATAAGCGAGAACCGAAGTCCAGTTGAATGTACCGTGACATTTTACGCCTCCCGCACCTTACATCACATTTTCAGCTCCCTCTGAAATCTCAGCCTGCCTTTTTTTTTCTTTTTTAACCCTCTTGAATGATTTGCTTCCTATGTTGGCTGAATGTAATGAATTGATTATTGCCACCTTGGATTTGATATTAATTATCTTGTTTGCTGCATCTGACATAAGTTAATAAAAGTATTGATATTATTTGGAAAAAAACAAAACAAACAAAAAAAAACCTTTGCATGGCGTGATCATTATTTTAGTGATGCAGTGGTTCACTCATTCGGCCGCAATAGACTTCAGCCCTCAACAGAAGAAGCAGCAGATGATGGATGGACGCCTATGGAATGTCGCTTATAGGTCAGCATTTTATGAGAGTGGGATGTGCGGAAAGCTCCATCAAGTGCTTTAGGCTCATGATTTGATGATGAATGGACAATATTCACACTGCCACTGAGTGGGAACTGAACTCATGCAGCCCGCGGTCAGACAAGGGAGCCACTAAACTGTCGTTTCTGATATTTCTCGTCTCTCTCATAATCAACAGTTGATTCACAAGACAACCTTTTTGAAAATGAGACCTACAGTGGTACCTCTACCTACTTTAATTAATTGCTTCTCGAAAAATTTCTTAACTCGAACATTTTGTAAGTAGGGACACATTTTCCTATGTAAATGCCCTAATTCGTTCCTAGACCCCCACCCCACCAAAAAAAAAATCAGACATAAATGTTTTATAAAGCATAAAAATGCATCAAAATAGGTCACGAATACATGTTACAATTAGTTTATTGTACAATAAATGAGAGTTCTGCATAACGTAAAACACAAAGAATAGAGTAAAGAATAAAAATTATGTATTTTAACTTTTGACTGTGTCCTCATCGTTTTTTTACCCTCTTTAGTCCACGTTCTCGCTCAGGAAGTGTTTTTTGCCTGTCGTTTTGTAAATAACTGATCCAAGGACGTTTGCTTTTCTCGGCTTTTAACAATCCTTTGAAAATGTCCAAAGCAAACATCAGCATAGAGAGCGTTGCCCGACTGGTGAACATTTTTTCTGGGTGATTACATTTACGTAAAACTATCAGAAAGCTTCATGGACCGAGGGGCAAATGACAAGGACGCTGCACAGACACAATTCGATCTATTCTAACGCGTCAACCCAGACGGCAGAAGTCACTCTTAGCCAATGGGATGCCAGGATGATGCTGGGTAATAGCCAATGGCAGAGCAGCTATGAGTATGTTGCGTTCAGGAAACTCGGAGCTGCGCGGAGCAGCCCATACTGTATTTTTTTACCTTTCGTATCTTGCAATTTCTTTTGTCACAAAAGACGATATTTTCCAGTTGAGACGTTTCGTAACTTGAAAATTTCGTATGAAGTGACGTTCGTAAATAGAGGTACCACTGTACTTATTGGGAAGTGCTTCATTGAGAGAGTTACATAAAAACGTCTGAAATAACATATTTTTGTTTCATTTCTGAAAATGTTAGTATGAATTAATGATATTGATGAGAAGACACTCATCGTGTTAATGACTTTTCCCTCCCTCTCAATAATTAGGAAACAGACAAATATCAATTGACAACAATTGACTTTTATAAATCTTTGCCATGGTTCCCATTTTCAAATGATCAAAATTCCTAGAAAATCCCAATGTCCCGTCACTGGTGAGCGAACAAGCAAGCTATGAAGACAAACCAGAATGAACTTCATGACAAAACACGAATCCTGATAGAATATCCACAAACGCTCAACAAGGTGGAAGATGTCCTTCAGTCACAAAGGCCGATTATGCAGTAGCAGAGAGCCAAAGTGCTAGAATGACAAAATGCTTACACCCTATCTACAATTGCATATACAGGAGATATGCATTATGGATGTACATGACACGGTGAGCGCGTTGCAAGCTGTGGGCGATTGGGCATTCTTCATACAAATATATTCTAAGGGTGAGTAAAACCTTTTTCGAGAGTGTGCTGTTTCAACCCCACTGACTCATGGATAGACGCCGTAGTCTATGCCATAAAATCTGCGGCGGTTAGCTAACTCACATGGCGACATTATTGTTGTTCATGTATTACATGAGTCAGGGTCAGCCATCAGCGAGATAGTTTCGTGTCAAGGTGGACAGCGTAACGTAGCCGTGAGGATATTTCATTCTTCCACGACATCCTGGAAGTGAACACACCCATCCATTTGTCTGATTGGAAGGGAGAGCCGCATGGTAACATCACGGGAGAAGATCATTTCAAAGCACAACACGCACAAATGTGGTTTGCCGAAGTAGGAAATAACATGACGTCAAACTTAAAACAAACTCAAAATGTCTCCTCATCTGGGACACGCCTGTGGCATTCGCCCCATTCGCATCAACTACAAAACAAAATTAATAAATAATAACAATAATATTAATTGTCATTATCCTTGCAATCCTTATTGGAAAAAAATATTGTTGACCCACAGTGATCAACTTCTGGTGATCTCAGCTTGCTGTTGTGATTGACTTATTGATGGGCCCTATTGTAGATCAATGTGTAAAAAAAATAAAATAAAAAAAAAGGATTATTTTCAAAAACATTTTTTCCCACTGGTCTTTCCCCCAGCTGCTCATTCCATCTGTTGTTTATCCTTAAAGGAGGTTTTGCCTTTCTTGCCTGAGGCTCCCTTTGCCAACTCACTGGAGGCCAAGGAGGGACGCAAAACAAGGAAAACTTTGCAAACGTTGATTGGCTCATTTTTATTGTCAGGAGGATTTGGTGGACATCCGGACTACTGAGGAAAAATCTGAGTAAGACTGCTCTCTTTTGATTTATTTTGCACTTGATATGTTTTCAATGCTGTGCTTATCCTAGTTTCTTCACATGAGTTTCCAATTCTAGTTTTCCGTTTGTTTCCCCTTCTTATCTGACTTGTCCGGTCTATTTTTAGCTTTGTCACCCCTGACCCAATCGGTCACGATTTGACAAATTAATTTTAATACCTCTCTGAAATTGCCATTTAAAATGTAGTATCATTACCAAAAATGCATGTTTTTAGAATGTCGCTGCAAGCCACAACACCTACAGAAAACTAACGTATGCAAGGGGAGAGTATAAAATATGTACGTAACATGATTTGATGGTATTGTTAAAAAAAAAGTCAACATATCTACAAAAAAAAAAAAAAAAATCCAGCACATGAGTGCTATTGGTATGTCTGCGCTAATAAAGTCCCCAGACACTGTATGAGGAAATACAAACTTATCAATTCATATAAATACGTCTAACACATTCCAGAAAATCATCTATCCACTTTTTTTTCTTAATTCTCAAGTCAACTCAACGCAACTGAACTGTATTTATAGAGCACTTTAAAACAACCATCCCTGTATACACAAAGTGCTGTACATGGAGCAAATATCATAAATACAACAATAAAACAATAATTAATAATAAAGACAGTAGAAAATACAAAACTTTGTCCTTAAATCAGCATGTATTGTATTGTATTGTAAATGGGACCCAGGGTTACTGGGGCCGATTCCAGCTAACTTTGTGCGAAAGGAAGACTACACCCTGGATTGATCGCTCATCAATCACACGGCACAAACAGAGACAGAAAACCATTGACACTCACATTTCCATCCTCAACATCCAAACCTAATTGAGTCTCATCACATCTCACCGCATCGACCCATAACAGCATGAAGTGTGACAGTGTATTATGACCTTTTGCAAATGATGTCACATCAAATGTACTTTACAGTGTTACACTAACACCTTAATATCAGAAAATAAGGCACATTTATATGTGCTGATCAAGGGTCAATGATGTCCTTTGCTTTTTCTTTATCCGGTAATCACCTCGATTTCCTCCGGAGGAACTCCCTTCTTTTATTCTCTGCCATTCCATTAGCTCGTAAGCTCAGCTCCAACGTTTTTGCATTATTGACAGAGACTTAAGCTGAGGTCAGTCTAACGGATGATCTGACCCTTCCTTCCAGCGTGCTATTTCTGACCACATGCCAGAGGTATGGTTTGAGCCCGCCCAAACCATATCTCAGCTCTGCGGGGGGCTTCAATTGAAGGAGGTCCCGGCTCCTTATCAGTTTGTCCGTTACATTCTTGACTCAAGTGGTCAGTCCGGTATCCATCTATGGGTAAAGGAAGAAGGCAAGAGAACCGGTGGTGGCCCACGATGCATCGGGGCCTTATAAAGAAGCCGCACCAGTGAGGGATTTTGTTTTTGGAGGGAGAGTGTGTTGTTGAGAGTAATCTGTGTTTGGCGCTATGGAATCACTGACTTCGTCTAGTCGGCGATCCTCTTCATCCTATCGCTCCTCGGCCCGCTACAGCTCCTCCAGTAGTTTTCGGTCAGAGAGCTCACGGGCTGGATCTGGGGACTCCCTGGATGCTCTTTTAGAGCCTTTTCTTGACTCGGCGAATTCATCCGACATGTTTTGCGAAGAGGACCAGGGGGGGCTCACTTGCCAGGCTCCGTTTGGCAGGCAAGACAGATCCTCCTATGTACACAGTGGTAAGTCAGCTGAAGCTCACACTTCTCATAGAACAGGTTGAAAACTTTCATTTCCAATGCACTAGACCGCAGACCTTTGCCAGCATCAGACGAAACAATAAGTGACAAATGAGACACAACGCTGAAGTTAGTGTCACCGTGACAATGGGGTCATGACTATTAGAAAGCTGTTCTTCTCGACAGCACAGTGCATATGCATGTACAGGAGGTAGGCCTACTTGGGGCTTTAGAACCAGAATGTTCAGTTATTTCCGTTTTTCACAGCCCTCCGAATAGGGATCGTCACTCAGCATGGAAAGATCACTCGCTAGGTACTCTTTGATTATTTATTGAGGCATCCAGCAGGTAATAACCTAAAAATAAGCATTAATAGAACAATCAATGTACCTATCTTCATCACAATGTAAATAATGTAAATAATAGACATGAATTCATGAACTTAATACCTTCATTTCAACAGTAATTTTATCAACCATAATATTATCAATCATGGCTTTATCACAACCAATTGATTATTTCTCGTAATGGGTTACAGTAAATGTAATTACTGTACTTGTCATCTAGATTAATCGTCGAAACATCATAAGAAACCATAAAAGTGGAACCGAACAATATAACTACAAATCCCAGTGGTCAACCCCAGAAGCAAAGCGCCGGCACGAATAACTCTTCGCCAGAACGCAAAACCATCATTGAAACTTTCCAATGCAGCCGGACAAACACGACGTTGGCAATATTCCAACAAAACATAAGTAAACATGGACACCATTGTAATTTCAAGTCTTAACTCTTATAACTTTTGCCCATGTTGTTTAAACGCTACTCCAGCCAGCAAGTAACGCTAAGCGATGCAGCAAAGAGATAAAGCGCCACGGACACAAAGCAAAAAGCAGACAAACAAAGCAAGCAAGCATGATTAAATCGAAAAGATAATTCTCCAGATCTGACATAGAAAAGCAGACATAACAAACGTATCTTAGCATTGGGGTCATGCTGGCAATGAAGTGAGTGATTTCCTACTGAACCAAAGCGCGATATCGTTTGTTTTTTCATGTGAAGTGAATGGCAGTCCGCACCATCTTAAAGCCCCCGGTAAATGCAACACAGAATGTCCCAGCTTGTTGCAAACAAATGAAAATGAAAACGCTGGAGTGATGTCCATCTGATTTCTGACTACTGTCACGATACTTTTGAGCAAGGCACTGACTGACCAGACCACCCCTAGCCCATAAGGTGCAGCACTGATGTCTTTCCTTGGAATTCCTGTCCGTGTGTGAGCGGGTTCTCACTGTAGGCCACAACACAAATATACTGTGCAGCAAAGTGGAATTTCCCCTTGAGGGATTATAAGGAAGAATTTTATTCCAAGAACACTCCCAATTACAGGGGGAGGCCTATTAAAAAGTATTCAAAACCAATCCATAAACGTCAAGTTTTTTATTTGCTATTATTTCATCATCACTGTGGTGCATAAAAACGGAAAATAAAAGCTGAATTTTTCATTGGAAGACAGCAAAGTTTTAGTAGCACGGAGAGAAGAGGCAATGCCGCAGAATGATGATTGCGAGCAAAAGGCTGCAGACCTCATCAACTGGGCCTCGTAAAGAAGGAATTGTGAGGAGGGGTCGAGGGGGAAGACAAAGGAAGGGGGAAAACAAAGAATGCAAAACTCAGATTGACACTCAGAGGCCGCCTTGCCACATGATGTGGACGGTTAATTTTTGAAATGACACACTTTATTGATACAAATTGAATTGTCAATATTTTTACGAAAGAAATCAGCAAGTCTCAATTCAAGCTTCGAAAGCACGGTGTCAAACTCAAGGCCTGGGGGCAGATCTGGCCCACCACATCATTTTATGTGGCCCGCAAAAGCAGATCAATTATGTCAACTTCCACGATCCTTTCTAAAATTTCTACCAAAAATTTTTAATTCTCATAATGTAATAACGAGAGATAGTCGAAGCATTTTATGGTTACCAAACCCCTCATTACAATAACTTAAACAATAGTTGAATGAACCGTTATTCTTGACTTCTTTATGTGGTTTCACAGTCCTAACGGCCGTCCTTGTGAAACAGTAACTAAAATGTGGCCCGCGACAAAAATGAGTTTGACACCCCTGTTCGAAGGTACCTCTTTCTATCCTATAAACGCAGTCTTGAAATTGTGAAAAAAAAAAAACTCACAATTTTTAACTTTTAGTTGTTTGATTAAGCCAACAATTGCGAATTCTACATTGACAGTTGGTTCAAATAAGTGAGGCTTTGCTGCAGTTACTGGTCAAGTGTGCCATCATGGGAAGCATATTGGGAAATCCATGTTCAGGAAAAAAAAAGTCTCCTTTTGAAATAAAGACTATCTACAGTTCATGGGACATGTTTGTGAGCTAAGAAAAGTTTCATAATTACAAGTTGAGCGTACTTTCAAAACTATCATAATGACAAAAGAAACTTCTCAGACAGTATATATAAAAAAAGTGTACACACCCCTTTTTAAATACCAAGTTTGTGTGATTTGAAAAGCGAAACTGAGATCATCCGATCAAAGCTGTTTTCCATCTCTACGCTAACCACTGGACCACCGGGCCGCCCGCCTCTAATGTAGCTAAATAAATGTCAGATGTTCTAGTAGGCTTTTCCTGACTTTTTTTCTCTGGCAGAAGCCTGTGCGTTTTGAGCTCAAATTGACTGATTTTCAACAGCTGTGTAAGAAAGAGGAGCATTTTAGCAAAAGATGCAGATACGCTCTTATGCATACACAGTGTAGAAAAAAAGTCAACTTTACAACGACACATGAATGAATAATGTCACCATAGTAACCGCTGTGTTTAAGTGGGCTACTGTACATCAGGGGAAGCCAGCTTTTCTTCAAAGGTCTTCATGAAGACAAATCAAAGGATTCAGAGGTACTTTGACAATTTAGACCTTTAATTAATTGAACATAGTACAACTAATGTATCAGTTAGGTCGAGATACAAAGAGGAAATTATAAATTGTATACTGTTTCATATTTATTTAGCACACATTATTCGGGACCTTGAGCAGGAAGGCTGATATTGCTTCTTAAATAAAACTTTGGTTTTCATTTTTTTGGGGGGGCTTGTTCCTCTTTTGAATAAGGTAACGCCTGTTTTGTCAAATGACGATTTCAGTTAATGCTGCAGCCGGCCTATAAAAAACAGACGGGCGAGCTGCAAATGGGCTGCGGGCAGCAGTTTGAACACTGCCAGTCTGTGTGTATGTATGATTTTGTGTACCTGCTATTTTCTTAACGTGTTGCAGCTCCAGCGGGTGGAGGTGTGCAACGTGTAGGAGATAGCTACTACGTGTCCGCCGATGTCAGCCAGTTTGAGCCGCATGACGTTGTGGTGATGGCTTATAACCATCATGTTGTCATTCACGCTCAGAAGGTGTGTGTGTGTTCTAAAACAATCATTTTGCATTAAAAAAAAAAAAAATCTTATTGTTATTAGTATTCAATCATTTCCAATTTGTGTAACTGCCCAACAATAGAAATAATCCAGAAACAAGAAAAACACTGGTCAATGGCAAATTTTAATCCCTAAAGTATTTTTGACAATCATTTTTAAAAAATGTATTGTTCTTCAAGCACGTCAGGTTTTTGAGATATTTTCAATTGTTAACTTTGACTTATGAAAGAAAATTTTACTTGCAACTTCGATGAAAAAAATTTACAAAAAATTCTTTGACCGGTGTAATCAATAACTTGACTGAAAATACTGTACATGCCACAATGCAACGACAAATGGTAGCACGGCTGCATAGAGATATTTTGATAGACAGATGGAGTCAAAAAAAAAAAAGGCCACTTCTTAATCATGGTTGATCTTAAAAAAAGCTATCCCGTTTTATTGTATTTTGTTTGCATATTCATTTTAGTTTCATCTCTACACACTCATGTAGATGAATATTTTGTATATTACAAATACTAAATGACCAAGGCCAGTTTGTAACCTTTTTCAATGGACCCCTGCAATTTGCTTCCTGCAGGTCATGGATGACGGGAGCGTCAGTGACACATTCACCCATAAGTCTCAGTTCCCAAAGGACATGAATCCTCTTTCCGTCTGTGGGACCTTTCACCATGACGGTGTTTTGACTGTGAGTGTCCGCCAGACCAACTCGACAGATGGCCGGGATCTTCTGGCAAACCCTACATATCGCAGCGAAGCTCACCTATGACCACAGACTTAAAAGTTTGGCTTCGATCTCGGCTTCTGTTGTGTTGGGAGACATATCGCAATCTTGTAACCGGTAATTCTTCTTAATTTTTGCTTCTGATCCACTATATACACTGAGCACATGAAAAACAAAAACAAAATGAAAATGAATTAATTTGCCCTTTTATTCATTATTTTTGTCAAACGATTTCATATTTTATTTCCTTGATTAAACAAACGTGCTAAGCCATGCTTTGGTCACTGTTTCTTGATTTGTCGATAATGACAAAACTGACAAAACTTTGTAAAAGGGGCTAAAGGAGCAAGAAAAAGCCGTTATACATTATATATTATTATATATGAGAATACAAATACAGATTAATATGCGGATTTTAATCTGTTTGTATTGGAGCGGTGATGCTCCAAATCCAACAAAAAGAAGCTGCGGTAAAAACACTCAAAAGGTGTGCCTTATTAATACTTGGCTAGAATGGATAAAAAAAAAAAAAAAAAAAAGACGATGACATAATAATTGCATGTTAAAATCTCATTTATTCATCCCTGATATACAAAACAGTTATGCATTTTTCATTGTGAAAAATATCTCTTGACATTGTTCCGCTCTCTCTGGTTTGGCCCCCGACAGTGTGTTCCACCAAAGAGCCCTTTAAAAAAGTGGATTCAATATAGCCCTCAAAAAAACTGATGAACGGTTTTCAATCAAGGTGCACCCGATTTAAGAAAGAACTCGACTACAGCACGATTAAAAAAAAAAAAAAAAAAAAAAAAAAAAAAACTGCGTCATTGCGCGAGAGTGTCAACTCGCATCCATGCAGCGTGAATAACCAGAAGATCTCGGGGAAGGTTTCCCAAATGCCAAGCAAACAAAGTGTTCTGAAACAACATGGACACAATTCTTGGGACGGATGTCTCAAATTTAAAATCTGTATCTTTTCCTTGACAATTCAACGGGCGGTAAAGTTGAGTTATAGTATGTGTTACTGCTGCTATTTCAGATTTGGGAGGAAACCCTCCCTCTCCAGTAGTCACACGATGTGCGTCATCGTTTGACTACTCGTGTGGCTCACTTACAAATATACATTCATTTTCTGCACTTTTACAGTTTTCTTTACAAAAATAAGCTTAACTTTGCATTCGTGTCATCAAATCAAACCGGGTTAGGTGAGATGAACAACTGTTATTGCACAATTTGATTATCTACATGGAGATCATCCATACGAAAAGGAACCAAAAACACAAAACAACCCCGAAGGACGATGGTTAAACCAGACTAATAAATAAGCATCTAGCGCCGTCGTCTTCTGCGCGGTCACCGACCAAATTAATAGTTGTGAAATGTTTATTAGGGCAAGGATGACAAAGCATCGTATCTATGATGCATTGACACAGGAAGAAATAAAAGAAAGCCCGCGAGTAGATCCCGTTTAGTCCCCTGTGGTAAGCTGGTGAGACATTGGTTGCTATGGCGATTTGCGCAAGCCTTGGACAAGTCTCCCCATCTGTCAAGTACCTCATCTATATACCGGTAACGTGTATAACTCCTCGACCACATCCGGAGCCAATTGCTATGGTGTGAAGAAGACACACATGCACACACCCACACACCGTGCTGGTCCCTTTAATATGAGCTTCTCTTGTCATCAAGAATATTGATAAGATAGTGTGTGGGGCTGCCATCTCATTGGCTCATTTCATCGACGACAACGGGTATTTTTGTGTTTCAGACAGTACATCAAAATGTTGTGGAATAGTAAAGAATTATCCAGATTTTAAGCCATTTAAAAAAGCCCCCCCCCCCCCGAATCTCTTTGAAAGAGAATAGTTGAATTATATTAACGATTGGTCAAGACATTAAGATTTTATATTCCTGTCAGTCCTGACGTGAATCAAAGTGTTATGAGCACAATCCCCCGCCTCCTTTAAAAATATCTCGAAGAAAAGCTCATTGGATGGTTGGAGCGCGGCAATCAAAAACGTACGTTAGATCCCGTGGCGGTATTTTTCGTCGAGTGGCCGCCATGAAGACGACAAGCGCCAAACTTTGTTGTAATGCCAATGATGTATTCCCAGCAGAGCGAGACGAATCAGTGTTTTCTTTCCAGCGAGCCCACATGAAATATTAAATACACATGACTTACTGTCTGTCATGTCAGACTCATTGCTGACTCTGAAAGCAGGCTGCCGTGAAAACAATGCTGGCTCAAATTTCACCCTGTCAACTTTGCTGCTGATAACCGGAGCGATAATTTAGTGGCATTGAAAGATGAAATCGCCACCCTTCAAGTGATTACTTCTTGATTTCATTTCGTGCTTCTAGCTTGATTGCATTCATTGATCTGATCCTGCTCTTATTGTGTCCTCGGTAATGTGCGAGCCTCAAGATTTTTGTATTGTATAGCTGCGGGGCTTCCGATAATGTAATGTAATGTAATGGACGGCAACTAATACGGTGATCAAAGACGGATTGGGGAGGAGGCCGAGAGCAGCTGGTTGGATAATGAGAACTTCCATTTGCTCGCTCCTACTCGTTTTCTCCCTCCCTTGCTCGCTTGCTTCCTTCCTTCCTTCCATTATCGTCCTCTCAACCTTCTCTGATTGGTAAGAGCTATATTTAGATTAGCAAGAAACACTGAGAGCGTTGCCACAGCCATGTTTGTGTCTGTGGTTACTCACAGAGGAGGAGTGTACGTCATTAAGTGGCTACAGGCCATTGGGCACAACTGCTTGCGTCGTGCATAATCTTGAAGTGGTGAGAACACTAAAGAGTCACCTTTCCAGTGCGAAAAATAGTGCCATTTCAAAAAAAAAAATAGTGCCTAGTAAAACCACATCCACGAGACAATTGCAAAAATAAAAATCAAAAGCACAGCGCATACGGTATCAGTTATCACCATTCTTACAGTACACACAGTGGAAAAACGAACGGAAGACTGGTTGAATATTGTCTGGACAATACAAGCAACACGAACTACGCAATGTCTGCATAAGAACATCCCTTTTAAAAAGACTTCACTACGTGCGGAGCAGGATTTAGAAGTGTTCTGCTCTCGTGTGGAGGGTCCGCAATGGAGATTGCAAGTTTTCTCGAGCAAACTTGCAAGTGGAGTTTACGGCAACAGTGAAGGACAATGAGAGAAGAAGAGACCGGCGGAGCAGTAAAACTCTTTCCACTTTTAAATATTGATCCGAAGCCCTGAGGAATTTGGCGATTACGGACCCTCAGTGCGTCCGCTTTTGATGCTTCTTCTACCTATTTTGGGCATCACTGGGACTTTTCGTCAGACTCCGGTGGCGTGTGTTCGCCGGGCAGCGACATTCTCTTTTCGCGATCCCACAGATTGTGGAGCTCAGTGGCCTCGTTTTCACTGCTGCTGGTGCCGCTGTCCCGGAAGCTGGCCAGGGGTGGGCGCACCTTCACGCCCTTCACCGTCACAGAGCCCTCGATTGCTTTGCGAAGCTGGACGGAGAGAAAACAGACGGAAGTCAAGTCAAGTTGATTGGGATACCTGCTAGAGGAAAACAAGAGAAACAGGACCATCAGAATTGTTATGAGCACAAAGTTCCAAAGGCAGCATTTGTGATGTTCATGGCCATGATATGGATAAATTGAGTATCTGTAAAGGCACCATTAATGGTGAATGGCACTTACAGGTTTTGGAGCAACGTATGCTGCCATCTAAGGCAGGGGTCCCCAACCGCCGGTCCGCGGACCGGTACCGGTCCACAGGGCATTTGGTACCGGGCCGCGCAGAAAGAACTTGCCTTAATTACGTTTTATTTATTTCGGAATACGAAAGTTGTTTTATTTTGAAAAAATTACCGGAATCTTCGTTACATCCGTCTGCGTCACGCTTGACAGACGTCAAGCCACGCTTCTCCGTCACATGACCGTTTACGCTAAAAACAAAACGCCGGAGCTCGCAAAATGAGTAAAAAAACTGCTGGACATCGCAAATGACGGCGGCCTTCCAAGTACGTTCGAGACAACTGGATTAAAGTTATGACTGAATACTCTGAGATCGCCACAATAGCACTGTTGCTATTTCCGACATCCTACCTTTGTGAGGCAGGGGGTTTCTGCAGCAATGGCGACTAAAACAAAATTACGAAGTAGACTGGGCATAAACCACACATTTGAGGTGTCATTGTCTCCTATTACCCCGAGATGGGACCGTCTGGTTGCAGAAAATCAAGCTCGGGGCTGCGGTGAGTCGCCACTTTCGTGCACTTTGAATTTGCGTTGTATCGTATTTTGAAGGCATTAAACATTGCCATAGCGACCGGAGTGTTGCGGCCAGATTAGACGCTCCTTGTGTTTATTATTATATTTCGAAAACACTACAGTTTTCATGCAGCTCATACCATATTATTTTGTTGTATTATTTCCGCCACACCTTAAATGCAGGTCCCTGAAAATATTGTCTGACATAAACCGGTCCGTGGGGCAAAAAAGGTTGGGGACCCCTGATCTCAGGAATGTCATTTTCAGGGACATCCCTGCTTATTTCACCAAGACAATGCCAAGCCACATTCTGCACGTTACAACATCATGGCTTCACAGTAAATGAGTGCAGATACTGTACTAGACTGGCCTGCCAGCAGTCCAGACCGGTCTCCCATTGAAAATGTGCGGCAGATTATGAAGTGCAAAATACAACAACAGAGACTGTTGAGCAACTAAGTCATATATTAAATTCACTCCCAAAGACATTCTTTTGGCTTCACAGACTTCACAAATTCAACCCGAGGTACTTAACTGTATATTTATTTCAAGGGGTAGAGTAAAAAGAGTCTGAAAATGGCTGGCACTGAAGGAGTTAAGCAAGAATGGGAAATAATTCCACCTATCAAGCTTCAACAGTTACTGTCCTCAGTTCCCAAACACTTTTTGACTGTTGTTAAAATTGACTTTGGGAATCATGCCGTCGTCCCAGTTTTTGGGGAATGTGCCGCGGGCATTACATACAAAATCAGTAAATATTGGAGAAAAAAATGTAATTAAAAATTCTCTTCATCTGTTTGAATAGCTTGTCTTTGTTGTGTAGTCATTTGAATATAGGTTGAAAATCATTGGATTGTGATTTTATTTACGTTTAACACAACATCTACACAAACTTCAATGGAATTGTGTTTGTTTGAAAACTACGAAAAATATATTTAATTCCTTGTTATTTAACGCGTTGAATCAATTGGCAAAGAGCTGCCAACATAAAACAACAACAAAAAAAGCTCATTAAAAGAGCTGAAATAGGTCATGACAATATCAAACGAAAATTCACACCTGTCTTTACGTTTGCATTGAGACAGCTAAAATGGTTCAGGAAAGGTAGCGAGGTGGATACAAATGGCTGGTGTTGAGCCCCAATGGTTTTAACCAGCTTTTATTTTCTTATTATGCTGTATTGCATCTATTTTCGGTCTCAGGGTCATACTAGATGCTAGTCTACACTCTGATTAAGGTCCACAAGCCATTTCCTATTTTACACCAGAATGTTTCCTCCAAGAGGTGATACGGGGGGAGATTAGGATCAGAGTGCAGCATGTGCTACAAAGTAAGGAAAATAAGGTCAGAACTATCCCTTGACTTTTGATGCTGTCTGCTGAAGATATTTGATAGAAATAACGGAGAAGGTGAAAGTCGAAGACGAAACATATGCATTGCCAATGCTTAGCGGATAAAAGATAAACATGAGTGCAAGAACTCATTTTATCATTTCGACCATCAACATCACATTTCTACCGTCTACATTTTCTTTGACAAAAATCAACTCACTCAAAATGTTCATGTTGATGCACTTTGTTTGCATATCATTTGCATCACATTTCCAACGCGCCAAAACTTGTTGGGCCTACCCACTTGCAAGCATTGCTCAAACTTGTCTGCTATCGACTTGTGATATTCCAATTTAACTAAAACAGTTGACCACTGAGAGACTGAACAAAACACAAGGAAAGCAAAAGCAAAAAAAAAAAAATTCTTAAAAAATGTTGATAAACATACATACAATATGGGCTTTCCGCGTGTAAAACGTATGACTGTTAATCTGCGAAACACTTGGAATTGTGAGTGCTTTGCGAAAAAAATAATCCACTTCCTGAAAATTATGGATCCCCAATACACCAATGGAGGTCTTGCGTTTTACTGACAACTATCAATTAGCCCGTTCCAATTTGCCCGGGTGCAGTGATGAATACGTGAACAAAACCATCTCTCCACTTCCAGATCGACGGAGCAGCATGTCTGTGTGACTGTCTGTCAGAACTATCTGCTTTGGATGGGCTATTGTCTGCCGGTGCAACGCGGAACAAAAACACCTACAGTAAATGTCAGGGACGAAGAGCGCTGCACTTAGCACACAATCCTTTCTCCACTTCCTGGCCAATTCACAAAGAGTGGGAGGGTGGATGGAGGGTGAGGGAACTTTGTTAATGAGGCAGATGGAGTGGGAGGGTGTGTAGACTGACAGAAAACCGACGTTTAAAAGAGATGGCAGTATCAAAGGAGCCTTTTGTTTGTCACTTTCCATAAGTAGAGGGAGGCGTCCATCATTTTGGCTGAAGTGCGTGCGTGCTTGTTATGTTGCAATTATGATTATGAAATGCGTACAAGTGCCGGAAAGTGATGGCAGTCGTCACTTTGAGCACAAACGAAAATGTGGTTTGACTGGAAAAAAAAAAATAATAGGAAGAAGAGGCTGTATTAAGCAACAATATTCTTACCTCTTTAAGGGAAACGACCCCAATGAGACGTCCAATACTGGTGACGTAGGCGTGGTCAAGGCCCAGCAGGGAGAAGATGGTGTGCGTCTGGAAGGAAGACAGCAGAAGAGTTGCGAATACTCTAAATAGGCACGGCAGGTTCTTTGCTCAAAAAAAAAAAAAAAAAAAAAACCCAAAAAATACTCCATACAGAGTACAGCATTGTCTCAAATGATCCTTGTTCACAGGGGGCTACAGAAGAAACTGAAAACACTTTCAGGAAGCATGCAGGACGAGGCACCTTATTGTTGTCAGGGTCCTATACAAACATTTTTTGAATACTGTACTCTCGACTCCTTTAGACACCAAAGAAAGACAGGAACAATAAACAAACAAGACAACATCACAACTAAAAAGCCAAAATGACACCGTGATTTTCGTCTTTGGTAAAAAAAAAAAAAATGCAAAATGGATCGGATTACTTTAAAAAAATTAAATACATTTTTAAAAAACTATAAATCACTTGTAAAACAGCCCCAGCACCCCCTCCCCCCCTTGCCCCCAAATGACCAAAGAGAGAGGCATTCAAATAAAAGTTCTGCAAAAATGGATCACTTCAGTGGGGATCAGTTCATGCTACTCATCGTATTTCATGCCGCCAATTTCAAGACTGAAACAGTTCTGTGCCAACAAGAAAATGGTTTCGAGCAGGGTTGTCAAACTCATTTTTGTCGTGGGCCACGTTGTAGTGACCGTTTACCTTGGAGGGCCGTTATGACTGTGAAAACATCTAAATAAGTCAAGAACAATGGTTCATTCGAGCCTGTTTAAGTTAGTGTCAGGAGGGGTTTGGTCACAAGAAAATGCTTCCAATATCTCGCTTATTTATTACATATGACAATTTGAAATTTTGATACAGATTTTAGCAATCACCCTAGAAGTTGACATGTTTGATTTGCTTTCGCGGGCCACATAAAATGATGCGGCGGGACAGATCTGGCCCCTGGGCCATGTATTTGACACCTGTGGTTTAGAGCAACCATGAATCAGGAAAGGTTAGCGGTAAAAGATGAAATAATGTCTTCAAAGCAAAAAATATTCACCCTTTCACGCACCCTGTAGCCTGACAACATGAAAAGCCGTCCACTGTAGTAACCGCTGTCCCTCAAAGGGTTAATAACAGAACTCGGTCTGCCAACAGTCTGTTAAAATGTTTGTCTGAATTAGCATTAACTGAAGTGATCTTAAAGGGGAGACTTCTGCGGATGCTTAAACATCTCAGCAATATTAACAGTCAATTCTCCCTCGCCATGATGCCACTTAACAAACATCTGCTATGCAGCAAACATCTGGTAAGAGGCAAAGCGGCAGCTGTTTTCAACATTTTTAACATCCTTAAACGGTACAACTGGAACACTTCTAAAATGATGCGAGCCAAAATGTAGGACCTTCGAAATAACACTTTCAGATTCTTAGTAATAAAATAACATTGTTATTTATTTATTTATTTTAAATTGTTTACACGCCTCTGTTTTTTCCACTTCCAAACTCTGACTTGCACTGCATTTGCTGAAGAAAAAAAATTTTTTTTTTACCCACGAGGATCGTTAAAGTTGCATTTAATCTTCCCCTCACTGCAGGTTCCTGCATGCATCCTGCTGAAAGCAATAGAGGGAGCACCGAGTCAAAAACTTTACTGGCCGCTCAGCTGGTTGCTGGTCCGATAGTGCTTAATTGCACTCTCTGTTGAACCAGAGGAGGCATGTGGGGATACTTGAGTTTGATCCCACTGTGTTGTTAAGTAATTGGTGGCTGTGGCTTTCAAGCATACGTCACTGGTTTCCTATAAGAGAATATGCTGTTGTATATTCTCAATGAAAAAAATCACTCATGCGTTTTGGATTGTGGAGGCGGCAGGAGCTCAGTCTGCACTTATTCCGCACTGAATGGTCAAAGGTTAAATAAAGCAATTGTGTGACAACAAAGGTGACAACAAACCGGCTTGTGTGCTTTTACTGCACTGCTACGACAACCTTCAGAGATGTGTTCACTTAGCAAAGATACAATTTTCCAGGCTTCAGTGAAGCAAACAAACAAAAGCAGTCAATCGTTTGGACAAACTTGTTCATGATATTTGTTCAATGAGAAGATAAATCCAAACTTATGACCTTCATGGTATGGTCCCAAGTTATAAACAGCGCACGTGAAACTAGTTTGCCTACAATTCTAACTTTAGCAGCTGACTGCCTGAAAATAATTTTTGGGGCTGTGGAAGTATCAAGATTCAACTGTATTATTACTGCAGTAACTTTTACTTTTATCGTTTTCATGGAAGGGAGCCAATTTTGTAATCTGCTCAGCATCGGCTCTTTGCCAGTAAATGAGCTACATTCATTACACGTATCCTCATCACCAAATGAGATTGGAAAGAAAGTGACAAACTGAGCAGGCAGAAGGAAGGAAAAGTAAAAGAAGACTCACAACTGCTAGACTACATAATCATAGTAATAATTATTGAAAAAAATAAAAGAGTTGACATTTTGGGAGTAGTTTAATGAATAGTTAAAATCGGCTTGAAGAGTGAGTGATCAAATCCAGCTTGAATAAGCGTGGGGCTCTTGCTCTAGAAATCAGACCAAATCCGTCAGGCAGTATGGAAAAAAATGAAGCGCTGTGACTTGCAAAGATCATCCCTGATGAATTGTTCTCCCAACACACACTTGGTTGCATGTATTGATTAGGATGCGAGAATCATCATCTTTTTCAATTCTCAAACTCCACTGGTTCAATTCCTGGATTCGACTAAAGATCCCTCCAGGCAACCCTGATTGCAGCATTTTCACACTGTAGACTCTGTAGATTAATTGTGGCAAAAAAAATTCTTTCAATTTCTTGTGCAGATACTGCATAAGAGAGAAAAAAAGTTGGCATGCTGCATGCTACATGTACAATATCTACAGTGCATATGTCCACAGTCTGTAAACAGCATTGGTAGTTGCACTGGGCAGTATTTATTATGCACAGGCTCGCTCTCTCTCTCTCTCTCTCTCTCTCTCTCTCTCTCTCTCTCTCTCTCTCTCTCTCTCTCTCTCTCTCTCACTTAAATGTTTAAAAGGTATCAACCCGGCACCCACACAACAAAGGACAGAGAGAAGGTAGCATTCTGAATGGAGGACATTAGATACTGCCATAGCTGCAACCCACAAAGGATTAGCAGGTGACATGTTTGGAAACACGACAGCATCGTGTGTCTGTGTGTGCGTGTGTGTGTGTGTGTGTGTGTGTGTGTGTGTGTGTGTTTGTGTGTGTGTGTGTGTGTGTGTAGGCCCACTACTTTCTACGGCACGTTGCAAAGAAAACAAGCAACACAAGCGCATTGCTACATGTAAGTGAAGCTGAAGGAAAAGGATTTGAAAGATACTGAGCCAATCTATGTTCCGTATTTACAAAATAAATAATGTCCGTAATGTCCTGAAAGAAACAAAAGTTTAGACACGTGCTGCACACAACTTTTGAATAATATCAAAAGTAACAATAAAACGACAGGGTGGCCGGGATAATCGCAAGTAAACTTAAAGGATGGTACTGAAGGGTTGCCATGGTAATGGAGACACCATTCTTATTCTTAAGTACCGTATTTTCTGCACTATAAGGCACAGCTAAATGCATTCAATTTTCTCAAAAGCCGACAGTGTGCCCTATAACCTGATGTGCCTTTTATATGGAGATAGTCTCTTTATATTCCCCATCGAGTTGTTTCCCTGTTCGTGTTCCTATGCCATCTAGTGGTGATTATTAGCAGGAACCAATTGTAACATAAAAGGGTTCGCCAACATACACTTCAACAGAGAACTATTTTATGAGCTCAGCGCAGCCATTATGAAATGAAGATAATACCAAAAGCATAGTTAACTACTGACTAAACGAAGGAAGAAGACTTCAAAGGATATTTAGCCCCTTGTGGATGTGAGCCCACGAGTTTTATGTGCCTTTTTGTTGAATCAATTGTCTTCATAACTTTTGTCTTTATTGTTTTTTTAATGCCATTTGTATTTATAAGTTTAATGTCCATGTTTGTGACCAGTTCTCATGTCTTTGTTGTTTGAGAAGACTCTATATAAATGAAGCTGTATTGTTTTGTATTGTATTTTATTCCCTTTAATGTAGCACCATCTAGTGGATGCATAAGGCAACCGCAGCCACTATTGTAACTTCTATGCGCCTTATAATGCGGTGCATACGAAAACACTTTTAAAATAGGCCATGCATTGAAGTCCGAAGTGCCCTATAGAAAATGAAGTATGTTGCTGTTGTGATTTCAGTTAGCGCTACCTAAATGTTGCTATAAGACCTCACAGCTGTCTTGACAGTCTGACCTTATGCAGTGACGTGCGTTCCACGAGCTGGAAGGGGGCAGGGTCAATCTTGCAGTTATTGAAGTTGACCTGCTCATCAAGCTGCATCTCTTCCCACTCTGCAATCTACAAAACACACACACACACACACACACACACACACACACACACACACACACACACACACACACACACACACACACACACACACACACACACGAGAGGATCGTTCTCGTTAATTAAATAAAAAGAAAGAACAGGACAAATGAGATAAAACATTGATGTGGAATGTAAGATTTTAAACCGCCCTAAAAATATAGAAACCAATCATCATAAATTATATATTTTGGGCTTTATAAGGCATAGTGAAGAAGAATATAAAGCACAAGAGTTTTATTTGCTGTTCAAGACCGTAAACTCCTTTGAGGCAGTATATCAAATTAGAAGCAGCAATTTTTTACATTTACTTTAAGATGAGAAGACATCTTTATGCAGTCAGTGGAGTAGCCCCTGCTGACCCTTAAACAGGTGACACTTAAAGGCAAGTTTTGATTCGAAGCTATAAACCTGGAGCAAAAGCACTCCTGAAAAATGCTCAGAGGAGCTCATGCATTTATGTGTGTCGTCAGTCACCACACGGAAGGCTTAGAAATTATTCGATGGCGGAGTTGAAATAATCGGCTCCATCTGATAGCCAATCAGTGGACTGGGAACCCCACTAAAGTGGTCTCTAAATCATATGTGCTGCGAGGGAGGGTGAGTGGTGAACCAGGAGGGGGGAGGTAAGGTGATGAATCAGCAGATGTGAGGAATGTGGAGGATCAATTCAAAATGGGTGCATACATGACGGAAGATATTTGTGATTTTGATGGTAGAAATGACAATATCTTGCAATATTTGAATAATGTAAGGTGCAAGATTCAGCACCGGCAGCGGCAGAATGTTAAAGGTGGACATATTAGGGTGAACGACACTTTTAATTGCTTGTACACAAATACTAGAGTTGGGTCTCTGGAGTGCCTGCACACCAATCAAAAGAATGAGATGAACCTGCAAAGTAAATATTTTATTTTCCGCCTGTTTCTAAAAACCTAATATGTGAGCCGTTTCGGCTCTTTTGCCCAAATGTTACGTAACAGTGGGGTTACTTTTCTGTACACCTCACGGCAGCTAGGCCGGCCGGCTGCTACCCAGAGCAACGTCATGGTTAAACTAGCCAGTAGCGGCTTTGTGCAAGAGCCATCCATTTGCAATCTGGAGGGCTGAAACACCACATCAAGCCAAATGGTGAGCAGCGTGACATTGAGTTTTGTTTTTTTGTTTCCTGCACAGTTTCGTGCAAATGTCTGATGGTCGGTGTTGCCTCCGCGAGGGAGAACAGGATCCCCTCTGTCTTGCCGAGGCTTTCGACTCAGAGCAGTAAATGCACCAGTGGACTTACCTCTCTGATGGTCATATCATCTTCCACAACGTCGTCGTCCTGCGAATGTAAAATGCACACACAAAAAAATAAATAAGTCAATTCTGTGAGACTACAGATTCTCACAGATTCAATTACAATTTCAAGGAAGCATATTGTCAGTATGATATGATGTATGAAATCTTGCTGGCTAATATTTGTGCTTTTAAACTGCAGGATTTCTATCATTGCAGCAAGTGGAATGACACATTAGAGACGCATGGTCACCCATGCATCACATCATGAGCGTTGCAATGGACACGAATGGAATGAGTGACTAAAGGAGCGACTACAGTGCATTTTAGGAGCGAGGGAGTATGATGTGTGCGATTTCGCACCAGATGATCATTATAATGATGGATTGTCACCACCCTCAGAGCCTCTGGCTGATAAATTCCGATTCGACGTTGCCATTGTTGACAAGCTGGAAAAGCAACCCCTCTTCCTTTGAAGAAAAATACAGTGCGTGTTCAGTTATGTGCTGCCAAGCGGGTGTTTATTTGCTCCGAATTTAATGTGTGTGTTAAGGAAAAATGGGAGGGAAAAGTAAGCATAACCCTGGGGCGGATGGGAGCCTGAGCTCATTTATCCTCATCGCTGCAGTGGACGACCTGTTGGTAACCTTAGCAACTGCAGCCGTGGGGTAGAAAGAGGTGCTCCATGCAAGCAGAGGGCAGTTGTGTCTGGAGTTGATGAGACCAAGCGCAGACACGTTTCAGAAGAGCGGAAGCTGTTACAGCTCCAGATGGATTTCAAATTGAAAGTCATAAAGGATGTTGTAGGAGTCATACTTCGGAGCTGTAACGATGGTAACAAAAGTTGTCTATAAATGCCCACACAGCTAAGAGCAAGCAGTACAGTGAAGTGTGTGAGGTTTCCTCAGTTTTTAAGTCACGTTTTTCAATTCAGTCACCTCGGCGGGAGACGTTAAAAATACAAAGATCAATTAGTTAATACTATAATTCAAAGAGTGATCATCAACGATATGTTTGAAAATTCAAATGAAGGACACACAGAAAACAAAAAATTAAATAAAACAAAATAAAATCATCATATCCTGTACTGGGAATGAAACTGTCACCGAAAAAAACAATTTCATCGTGCAAAATTATGCCATGCATATCACTCGCCAAATTTGCATTGAAGTAACGACAAACACAACATAAGGGCACATACTGTATATTATTGTATTCACGCTTTTCAAGGTTTTTCAACTTTGTCGGCGAGACTTACACCAACCGTTCCCTTTTGGGACATGTTGAAAAGATGCTTCAGATTTTTTGGCCCTGTTGCTTTGACAGGAATGTGACACTTTAGTTTAAACGAATCAACAATATTTTTGATCAGTCTGACAAATCAAGATCAGAATAAATCAAAATTCGGATTTTCACTACAATTCATTATTTTCATCAGATGTAAGGGGAAAAAAACCTCCCCAAAACGTATGTTAAGTAGCATTGCGTGTCCTCTTATTTGGTTGCCTGAATAACAGTTTAAATTGTCAAAGTAATAAAAAAAGACATTCCAAAGTTTCTCCCTGATGCTCATGTTTCTAGTAATGATGTTTCTCTAAGCGACTGCCAGACAGTAAACGGTGCAAGAGGGGAACATTACAACAGTAATCACATGCAGGCAATTAACTGCTGATTTTCCTGCTACTAATGATAACTTCTTTGCTCATCGTTTACAAATTCTATTACCGGTACTGTCTTACCACCTCATCTGATTAGGAGGCAGGCTTTTACACCATTGTTAATGGCTTTGTCGTTAATACAATGCTGTGGGGAAGGAGAATGTTCGGCTCTGCTGCACTTCTTTTCTACGTTATCCATTGTTCTTCATTCTTGAAAATCGAATTACAAACGGCTACCGCTAGGTCGCTCATGGTTTTTCTTTCTTTTATTGAACTTCGGAAATGATAACAAAACTGTTTTGTGCCTTTTTCAAATGCTACAATCATGCTGTTGAATTGCTGCCCCCTCGCCCTCCCTCCAAATGATAGGTAGGTATTCATTCAGTTGATGACGAGGAAGCTCAACCGTGGATATAAATGAATGTATAATTTATTCGAAGTTTTCCAAAAATGGCATTTAAAACATCTGCTTGGGCTTCAAGATCTGTATTTGGCCTCAACAGTTGGAGGCTCCAGATGTTTCAACCACTTAGCTCATGTTCTCCCACTATCACTTGAGCGAGTTATCCTCCAGCTACTTTTTTGATGCAATGGAATGATTGGTCAAGGTGTCAGTTCATCTGTGAAAATGGACAGCATTTGACCACAGGAAATAATTTTTACGTGCACCGGAGGTGGGCAAACTTATTCTCAACGGCCACATTTGATTTTTGAAAAGACTGCTGGGTCAGGTGATTAAGAGGCGAGGTATTTAAAAAAAAAAAGAAAACAAGGAAAAAAAAAAAGAGTCAACCATATAAAATATTCAATTTTTTTGATTTGCTTCATTTTGAAAGATTCAATTCTAATCAATTATCCACCTTTTAAATTGGAACGACATTTACATGTACTGTACATGTAGATGTGTTTCTATTAGTCCTCCCTCAAAATATATTTTTAAACCAATGATTGAGAAGTATGACGTTCAAATGAATAGATACAAATTATTAAACCAATTTCAGGAAAAAAAAAGTATAGATAAATGCAGCAAATATCGCATTGTGGATTAAAGAATGGAGCATGCCTTATGTGCCCCACGGACCATACTTTGCACACCCTCAATTTATCACCCACTGAACACAGTGTTCAGTGCAAAAGTTTCAATATTTTTTGTCTCTGGGTGATAGCGAAAGCAGTGATGTGTGAAACATACTCAGAAGTCATTTTAAACTGGAAAGCGATTGACAAGTGGTTAGTCTATCGCCCGCTTTGTTCACCCAGCGGTAAGGACGCAGATCAACTCACCATATCGTTTTCTGCAAGCGTCAATTCAACGTGTTAAAGATTAGTAATAAAAAAGATGCATATTGCCTTGAGATTTCCCCCCAAAGATGGCATAAGAAATTAAAAAAAAAAGGAAACAACAGCAACCAAATAAACAGACAAGAAAAGAAAACCCTTGAGCCCACAAGTCATCATAAATAAAGCATGACAGCATTATGAAAACTCAAGAAGGGGGAAAAAAATAATGAGAAAACTGAGACAGAGGCTGGGCGTCATCATTTCTCTGAAACAGACTACTGATGTCATTTACTCTGCATCAATATTTCACGACCGAGATAGAGGGAGTGGAAGAGGCGGGCTAGAGGTGTGAAGGCTTTTGAAAAGTCATAAAGATGGACGAAGAGGGTGATGCGGGGACACATCCACATTCCCAAACAAACAACAGGAGAACAGAGGGACTAACTTGATCCCTCCTCCATCACAGGCAAAACCAGAAGATTTGAAAAATATGTTTGGATAAAGTCATCCATAGTCTTGACCATGCCCACATAACATTTGAAAAATGTAGAGTAACGGCTGCTCTCAACATCACCATTTGACAAAAGAAGACCAGCTTATAGTGGGAGAAAAAGGCCACAGCCCAATGAAATGCACCCACACTGGCGCCACAAGGCTTTGTTACGTATGACTTCACTGTCGAGTTGCAATGACTAACGGGCTAAAAAGTGATTCTGAAAGCCCACTTAACACATCCAAAAATGAACTAATAATGTGTTTTCTCTGCACAGATCACACAGCGAGCCTGTAATTGGTACTCGTTTGAAACATTGTTGGTCTCCTGGTAGGTCTTACTATTAACCATCAATGGCGGATAATTGCCTCGCCGTCCAACAATTAAATCCAAAATATGTATTCATTTTATTTTGAAATAGCAGCAACATAACCACATAGATGTATTGTGTTATTGTTGAGAAAGCAGCTTGGGAGAGAAAGGATGTGCAAAATTTGTTAACGAACCGAACAAAGAGTGGCTGTTAGAGGAGGCAATCTGGTGGTAACAAATTTACAAGAGCACCACCCATCACAAATTCAAGGTAACAATAATAAATTCCGAACGTTTGCGACAAATAAATGTCGCTCCTCATTTTCAGAGAAACAAATACTTTATTGTTGCACAGTTTAGGTCATCCCCATGTTGAGACACACCTCAAACTGCGTTCCGTTTCCAGGGTGACGACAGTTTTTTTGGTTTTGAAGTAGAAGCACAAATTTGTGCTACTAATATGCTTCACGCCGCCACGGCTAGATGGCGGTAGCAGCCTTCACAACATCCGGCCAGCATCAATTCAAGCGACTGTATTTTCTGCACTACAAGGCGCAGCTAAAAGCATTCCATTTTCTCAAACACTGACAGTGCGCCTGATAATCCGATGTGCCTTATATATAGTTTTACTGTCTCTTTATATTCCCAATTGAGTTGTTTCCCTGTTAGTGTTCCTATGCCATCTAGTGGTGACTGTTAGCAGGAACCAATTGTAACGTAAAAGTGTTCTGCCCGGCACTAATTGACATGTGCATCTGCCAACACACACTCACACAGATAATTACTTTGTGAGCTCTGCGCAGCCATTATGAAACGGAGATAAGACCAAAAGCATAGTTAACTCCTGACTAAACGAAGGAAGAAGGAGACAAGCAAGACTTGTAAGGATATTTTCCACCTTGCCTGGAAGAACATGCAAACTCCGCACAGGAAGGCTGGACCTGACATTCTGAACTTAAAAACAGTGACTCAAACAGAACCACTCGTTCACCGTGCAGTCCGACAAATTGATATGCCTCGATGTAGGAAGTACAGATTTGAAAGTGCTGAAAAATGTGTTTCTCATTATATGTTCACATTCAAAGGTTTAGAATGAACGGGAATAACATTTGTCTCACCCCAAAGAAACCCCTTAGGCTGGGTGGTGGCTCCTGGTGAAGGGAATGGCATTGCATACAGAATGATGAGAAAATCCATTTACTTTGCTGACATGATCATGTGATAGGTAATCAAGAATTGTTTGATTTATCACATGCCATCAAAGCAAAGCAGATGTTTATGGGATTTGTATTTTTTTCAATTTCCAATCAGATGCTTAAATCAACGATTGCCGTCCAAAAATGCAAATATAGCAATTGGTAATTTGACAGCAGGCTACGTCACAGTCAAAGAATGACAATTTGTCGATGCACTTCTCATGCATTATCCTTTTTCGCTCTCATACAAGGTGAGCTGTTGCTCAAACATGCCTTCGTATGAAAATATATGATTTTCCAATTGTAATACAGTATGTATAGCTGCATGCACAGGAGAACTCACTCTCCCAGTTCAGAGTATTTAATCCACCGAGCATCGCAGACTTCCAAACACACAATCTGACTTTGGGCCACTCCAGAAAGGCGATGCCAACTCTGGGAGGTTGTCACTGATTGGACACCTCGGGTGACACAGAAGGATGGAAAGAACAGCATGCCAGGTTTGAACAGCCTCAAACTTGTCGAACATCTGACCACTTGTTTTTCAAATAAAGTAAGATGAAAGTTATATGTAGATGTTTCGGGAAGACTTCTGGAGCCACAAGTGTTCAATTTAAAATAGAAATAGGGTTTCAGAAAGGAGAGCGGCCAGCTCAAAAGCAGGAAAAAAAAAGATTCCTGGAGTGTTAAGAGCTTCAACACAATAGTGTGGATTGAATAGATTTTGATGAATTGCTCTGATTAAGTATTTCAAAAATTTTTATATTTCTGTATACATACAGTATATTATGTGTGTCATTAACAACAAAAAAGTGGTGAGCTTGCTTGAGTTGCCTTTATTAATTACTTAGAGTGTTCCACTGTGCACTGAAAATTCTGCTAATGCAGAATGGCGAGAATGATTTTTCCCCCCTCTGTCACGAAGCAATAAATAAGTGTGGCCATTGCAGTGGTCAAATGTTCTCCATAACCTCTCATGACCTTCGGACCAATAAAACAGATTCAGCAAAATGGAGCTAAGTTTTGAAAATCATGGAAGCAAGCAACAACCGGCAATGAGAGGTCAGCAGGCAGTTTACAGGTTTAACAAGAAGAGACTGTTCAAAAGTTGTTGGCGCAATGGCACAGATGGGCTTGGGGTCAGCATTTCCCAGATCACAGGCCATTGGCATGAGCAATTAGCCCTGGAATGGAATGGTAGCGTGATACATTTTGATTGGCTGATGAACCTATTACCCGGCGGAATCCTGGCATTTGGGTTGCCTTCAAATGATGGCTCTCTTACCACAACAGATATCCGGACTCGTTTTGACTGCCTCCTGCTGTCAGGAGACACGGGGCTCTCGACATTGTTGTTTTTCTTCCACCAACCAAGGACAAGCAGACAACATTAAAAGCACCCTTCACAGCTGAAGAAATTTAAAACAAACAAAAACAAACTTTCCTGCGAGGACTAAAAATGTATCTTGCGAACAGACTGCAACGTGGTGGAAAGTTAGTTGCAATACGTTGTAGATTGAATGAGAAAAAAAAATAATACCTTTGATTCGCTCTCTCGGTTACAATACTCAAGACAAAATGGAAAATAAGTGTCTTGTACTGGCGTTGGCTGAGATATCAGTGTTGTTCATTGGATTGATCTGCTTTGCGTGGGAGGTACTGTACTGTCGAGTGTGAAGCATGTATGTGAGAGTGTGAAGCATGTGAGAACAGCAAGTCGTGAGCCACTGTGTGTGTGTGTGTGTGTGTGTGTGTGTGTGTGTGTGTGTGTGTGTGTGTGTGGGCTGCTGTTGGGTGCGTTCAAGGATAGGGTTCTCTCACCTCCATGAGCTCCGCATCTGGACTGGCACAAAACAAGTTCTTTAGACTGGAGTTGCTTGAATGATCCTGTGAGCCTACGAGACAAAAATGACCGACGCTGTCATACATTGAACAGGATTGATGTCAAAAGCTCTCCAAATTTCAAGATTTGGACTTTTACTAATAATTCTTTCCAAAAATATGGCTCAAACGCTGCTCTTAAGGTTGTGACCTGTCATCATGCATGACATCATGCAGGACGTCAGCAAATCTCTTGAGACTTGAGTTCAGCAAACATCTAGAAATGCGTTTTGCTTTTGCAGTCTTTTTATGACACTTATAGAACTCCTATACTGGAAAATGAGTTGTGTGAGTCAATTTAAAAAAAACAAAACACAAAAAACCCCCAAAACAACAAACTGTGCTATATGAGACAGAGGTTTTATTGTTATTCCTGTTTGCAAATGCAAGCCATGATCTGAAAAATGAGAATTAGTTGTCCTGTGTATCAATAATTCCCCGGAGTTAAAATGATGAATATTTACACTGACACTGCCGAAGTTCCCGATTTTTCATTTTTCAAGATGAACGAATCAATCTCTCATTGAGAAATAAATAAAGTAATAGTATGACACACCGATGGGGATATCAATGGGCCGCTCCACCACGGACGGTCTCTTCAGAGCAGGTTTCAAGGGCTTCTGAGGAACTGGACGAGTAGGACTGAATGACGATTCTTCAGTCGAGATCTGCAAACGCACATAGAAAAAACATACAGTAAGTGAAATACTTTTGACAACTACTGCAGGATAAACATCCCTCCATCCATCCAAACTTCTGCTTATCTGAGGTCAGGTCGTGTGTGCAGCAGCCTCAGGAGGGAAGCTCAGACTTCACGCTCCCCAGCCACTTCATCTAGCTCTTTCATGGGGATCTCGAGGCATTAAAGAAAGTCTCTCCAACATGAATTGGGTTTTTCCAAGAGCCTCCTCCTTCCAAGAACCACCAAATCTGGCTCCTCTTGAGCTATTCAACCTCTCAAAGGGAGAGCCTGGACACTCTGCAGAGGAACCTCATTTCATGTGCTTGTATCCGTGATCTTGTGCTTACGGTCAAAGCCATACAACTCGTGACCATACAGGCAGGTGAAGGTGGAAATGTAGATTGACCAGTGAATTGAGGTCCTTCTGGATCAGCTCCCTCTTCACCACGAAAAACCAAGGCAGATTTTGGATCAATTCAGTTCCTGTAACAATCCACCTGTCGAGGCTACTAAACTGGAACAGTTCTAAGCCTCAGCTGTGCTTACAAATCCTGGAGTCGATAATAGCTTATGAGCATAATGGGTGGCAAAGGACAGTGATGACGGTGTCACTAGAAACAAATCCAACTAACTGCTAGCACTGTGAACACTGGCACCCCCCCCGCCCATAAACCCTGAATAGACCTTTTCAGGAAAGCTGAGGAGTGTTATCCTCCCTTGAACAAAGTAGTTGGAACACACTCTCTGGCCTCACTTCACTCCAGATGTTCATGTGATGTTGCAAAGGTGTGCCAACAAGATGGAACCACAAAATCCAGAATCTTTAGGAGTTCCGGGCGGATCTCACCCATCCCACGGCCAAAGAGGAGCTTCAAGTTCTAAAGCATCCTTGAATTGAATTTGCAAGTCGAATATAGCACAACATTTTTGTGAGTAGTGTATACAAACAACATCACTTATTCAAAATAGTCCCGGAGCGGACCGGTGGTTAGCGCATCAACCTCACAGTGGATTTGATCCCAGGACCTTCCTGTGTGGAGTTTGCATGTACTCCCCGTGCCTGCGTGGGTTTTCTCCGGGTAGTCCGGTTTCCTCCACCATTCCAAAAACATGCATGGCAGGCTCATTGAACACTCTAAATTGTCTCTAGGTGAGAGTGTGAGCGCGGATGGTTGTTCGTCTCTGTGTGCCCTGCGATTGGCTGGCAACCAGTTCAGGGTGTCCCCCGCCTACTGCCCAAGGACAGCTGGGATTAGGCTCCAGCACCCCCCACGACCCTTGTGAGAATAAAGCGGATCGGAAAATGGATAGATGGATGGAAAAGAGGCCCTTCACTACTAGACAGCGAGATCACATGCAAGGAAATAACCCGCTAAAAATTAATGGTACAATGTTCATGCTGCAACATGTTCAACACTGAAGACCCTAACATACTATCAGAAAAGTCACAAAATCTGAATCTGGTATTTGGAAAGTGGATGAAATTAAACTCTGTTTCACAACGTGTGTAATAATTTCTTTTTCATTTCAAATCTGGTTAATTTTTGTCCAAGGAAATGTGTAAATGCACCCGTAAGCAGCAAGGGAACAAAGAAATGAGTTGAAAGTTCCCTGTGACATCTGACCTGGAAGCGGACCTCCTGACTTGCTCTCCGGTGGTCATCTTCGGCGTCAGAGTTAGAGACAACAGACAGGCGCTTCTTCTCTGCTGTTGCCCGCTCTCTGATGAACTCCAGCCGGCGAGGGCGTCCTAGCTGCAGAGACAGCAGCGACTGGAGCTGAGCACGCTCAATGGAGCCCAAGAGAATCATGGATGCTGAGGAAAAAGCACAGAGGGGAAAACGTGACGACAGTGCAGTAACATAGAGAAGTTGGAGGGGTTGTGAGAATGGTAATGAGTCTAAAGTCGAAAGAAGGGGTGGGCAACTTAAATGCTGGAGGCCGTCACAATTTTTCCATTAGTGCTACTGGGGCGTACCCAGAGAGGACCATGCACTTCCCAACCAAATGTCCACAATGCCATTGTAGATATGGACAAAATACATGCATACATGCAGAAAATACATTTCATTTTGATAATACTGTACATCTTTCAATGCTTGTATGAAAGATCCACGATTGTAAACCAACAGCAAAGGGTTTGACACAAACACCACACTGTATGCGTTCCCAAGTGCAAAGTGCTCTGTTGCATAAAACTTACCATTGAAGGATGGCACAAAATTGCTGAACAAGAAACCAGTATGACATGCATGAACTCATTTTGGTCATTTTTTTTCTCACAATCAATTCACTCAAAACCTTGATATTACTGTTTGTCCTGCATGTCATTCCAAATCCACCCAAAATTATTGGGCCTCCCCACGTAGCAGCAGGCAGGATAAGACTGAAACTATAAATGTCTTCCATCTATTGGGGAATGGTGATTTTACAACTTAAAACTACAGTTGACCCCTGCATATTGGCACTTCGGCAGCCACGGATTCGCAGTGGATTTTATACGATTTTTCAGGATTTTTCTCCATTTCCCCTCCGTTCTTCACAAAATACTAATTGTTTATCGGCATTTTTTGAGGATTTTTTTTTTTGGGGGGGTGGTTATGAAAGAAATCTATAATGAAAAATAAGTAAGTAAAATTCTCCCCCACCTCCCATCCCCCAAAATGAATTGTTTAGGGGTGGGTTGAAGTATTTATTAAGGGCTCCCTGAAAATATTGTTTGACATTAAACCTGTCCGTGGGGCAAAAAAGGTTTGGGACCTCTGTGATAGGACACATGCAAAACCAACTGAACAGATTTCAAACGCTGTTTCACCCTTGGTGTTCATGTGTGCTTGCGTGAGTACCAACTTCCACAGCAGCGAGCAGGCTGACTGACAGACGAGGTGATGAAGCAGCACGAGTGAACGTTGATGGCGGATGTGAACAAACACGCATGTAAATGACCATTTATCGAGTGTGAAAAAAATATCTTCTCCATTTTTGCTCATCGAGCGCCAAGTCGATAAAGTAATTACTGTGACAGGCCTAGCCACATGCCACCTGGGAGACACAAAAAGCATGTGGAAGAAGATGCTCTGGTCACATTAGACCAGAACCTCTTGGGCTAAATGCAAAACGTTGTTTGGCGAAAAAGTAACAATGCACATCACCATGAAAACACCTTCACAATTGTCAAACATGGAGGTGGCAACATCATGGTCTGGGGCTACTTTTCTTCAGGAGGGACAAAGAAGATAATGACAAGTGATGCGAAGATAGATGAAGCCATTTTGGACAGGGCCATTTTGGAAGAAAATCTGTTGGAGTCCGCAAAAGAACTGAGACTGGGATGGAGGTTTATCTTCCAGCAAGACAATGAACCTAAACACAAAGTAAAATCTATCGTTGAATGGTTCACAACCGAAGGTATCCAAGTGTAAGAATGGGCAAGTCAAAGTCCAGACCTCAATCCAATTGAGAATCTGTGGAGAGATCTAAAAACTGGTGTTCACAATCGCTCTCCATCTAACATTACTAAGCTGGAGCTGTTTTGCAAGAGTGGGCAAAGACTGCAGTCTCTCGATGTGCAAAGTTGCCGTAGGCTTCAATTTTTTATTTGTTAAAAAAAAAAAAAAAAAAAAAAAAAAAAAAAAAAGGTTAAAATATCACCTAAAGTTTACGTCACGATTGTGTCCCACTTGGTGTTGATTCTTCGTCCCCCCTAAAAATAATAATCATCCAATTTTACATCTTTATGTTTGAAGCTTGAAATGTAGCAAGAGGTCAAAAAGGTCAAGGGGGACGAATACTTTTGCCAGGCACCGTGTATATGTGTGTGCCAGTTTACTTGCTTTAACTCAGTGGTGTTCCTTTTTTGGGGATCAGTCATTATTAAATACACGAACATTAATAACAAATACTGGAACTAACGCATGAATAAAATAATAATAATAATAATCACAGTGTCAAGCAGGTTTCCGATGGACAGCACTAATACAACAATTCACCTGTAATGGGAAGTCAAAATTAACAACTGACTTTGACTGAGAGCCACTTGAAATAAATTCTGGCTGTGACAAGACCTTTTGTCCTCATGCGCTTATATGGCAAGCGCTGTCTGTCCACGTTTGAAATAGGTGAGCTTAGATAGGGAGACTTCATTAACCACATGTGGGAAATTAAATTGAAATTGGCCCATTCGAAACACAGTCACTGACTAAAATAAGGCAAAGAACACATTTAATTTGCCCATGTCCGGTGTACACAAGTATGTCGACTAGTGCAAGAGAACCTGTATAACTAATCGTGACATTTAAACATGAGTGACTTCACTAATGTTACCCAAAAAAAAAAAAAAAATGCTTGTTCCCCAATAACACCATCTGTATTGTCACCCACACAGTGCCCAATGAGATATTACCCCACACCCCCAAGCAAACATATACATCATTGTAACCCGTTTTAAAGTTCATGTGCTAATAAGGCTCTGTTTGTAGATCCTACTTCTAATGTTTTAGCCTTAGCTTTGGAAGTTGACAGAGTTGCTAAAAATTCATTCACGTTATTTTCTTCACACCCTGCTTTAAATAATTGCAACAATAAGCACTGTTACTGAAACTTCTATTTTTCCTTTTTGGGGTGGGGGGATTGAATGCAGCAGGTAATTTGTTTCAGAACATCTGCATGCATGCGACCATCACAGACTGCCACATTTGCACTGTGGTGCTCCAGTGAAGGCGGTAATATCCGCAAGCTGTGGCAAGTTAAGGTTGTCAATCAATTTCTCGATGAGCGTGGCACCAGGCTGGCTTATTTCTTTTGGCCACTGAATGAGCAGTAGTGCTACACATATCAAAAAGGAAACCAGAGTTGTTGACGACCTGCTTTTTCTTGCTGTTCAAGCGGTTTATATTATAGCTCAGTACAGTATTGTCAAGTTGTTTTCATGTGGACAAATGCAAATGGGGAGTGTACACTCCAAAACGCCCCCACTTGCAACATAACTGCAAATAAATAACACCAATTCGATAAATATTCATTTACTGTCTGAGTCAAAGGTTCAGACACACACAGTTCATGCTTTTGAATGAGAAGGTTTGTGTGCGTCTCACCAGCTGATTCCACCAGCGCCAGAGTTTTGAGGTGACCCGTCAGCAGGACATTATGAAGGTCTCTGTAGCAGCAATTGAGTGTGATGTAGCGCACATCCCTCACCATGATGTCCTCGACCCGAATATTGTACTTCCTAAGAAGAGAATTATGAAGAAAATTAGCTATAATTACGGTTCCCTGTGAAATAAACACAATGACAAGAAAAATATTGTAAAAAGGGCCAAGTCGATTGTAATTTTTGTCATTTCATAGTCATTCAGTCACACAGCCACCACAGGACATTTTTACGTATATGCATCCGGTGTATGATCAATACTCGTTTTGATAACTGAGTCCGAAAGCTTCAGCTTCCGTCAGCTAACTAGTCAAATCACACGTTTGAGCGTTGACACGTCATTCTGGATGTTAGCGGCAGTGACGGCACGGCCATGCGGACACTTGCATCAGCAAAATTGTACACCAGTCGTAAACACTCAGCTCTCTTCCTGTCTGAGCTTGCCAAAACTTGCACACGAGGCAGCAGTTGCTTGACGTCTTTGCTGCCAAGCCTGCTCTTTGTGCCAGCAAACGAGATCTGGCCAACTCTGCTCTCCTTGCAGTTACAACTCAATACATTGACCTCTCTTTGATACAAAGTCAAAATAATGACGATACAAGCCTATCGCTTGAGAATAAAAGACCAGAAGGTTGAACTACGCTGGTAGTCAACTTGACAAACCGAGCTTGAAGAGCTCGGTCCTTTTGAAAAGCCGACTACTGCATCTCGTTTTTTTTTTTTTGAACCGCTTTTGAAGACTGCATCTTCCTGTCAGTCAGACCTTCGTGCTCTGTGGTGAATAAGAGAGAATAATGCAATCAATTGGCTCCAACTGGCTATAGCGACATCCAAGAGCTATTCGCCTGAGAATACAAGTGCAGCTGATGAAATCTGATTGGGTTTCTTTTAATTGAAGCCTCAACCCCATGCCATGGGGAAATTTTTCTCTGAACCATTTTCGCGTAAGCTTCACCTTATGAATCTGAGCAGCCAATAACAGATTTATAAAGACAGAAATCCAGGCTCAAGAGTCATCCATATTTTCAAGGACAGATTGAAGTGACGTGTGTGTATGTGTGTGTGCATGTGTGGATAGAAAAGGAATGTGAAATGATCCAAAGCGCATGTGATACATCGCGAAAACCGGGGCCAATTCACAACCTGAAATTGCCCAATAAAAACCAAAGAAACACAGTGACAGAAAACACACTCACGCCCACAGAGATGCAAACACATGCACGCAGATTGTCATTATGCAACTGTTCCCACGCTTTACTAAAATGTCCCTCTAACACTGGAAGGGAGAACTCGCTGTTTGGATAATGTAATAGGACTGTGTTACAATATATATGCACCAAAAACAACCACCCCCCGCTCACCCCCAAATATAAAAGAAATAATCACCGTGAATGTGCGAGCAAATGCACATCCCGTCAAATGGGCGCATCACACTGCCTGCCGTTACACAAGTGTTCCTGTGTGCGTGGGCGGCTAGTTGCGTGGGGGCGAGGTGGATATGTTCCAGTATGAGTAAAAAATGCATTAGGTTTAGAGGAGGCCACATGCGCTACAGTAGTTCCCTTTCTCTCCTATCCCACAACCACATACTCAGGGTAGCATTTTTATATCCTGCACAATGTCTCTCTCTCTCTCTCTCTCTCTCTCTCTCTCTCTCTCTCTCTCTCTCTCTTCTCTCTCGTTAGTTGGTGAAGTAATGAGAGAAAAAAAAGATTGTCCTCAAACTTTGTAGGTGGTGGGCACATGGGTAAAGTAATTATATCGGATTTTTGCAAAACTATCGATAGCTGGATTTCAGATAAATATTTAGAATTTGTATTAGTGCAAAAAAGTCACGATATGGCTTTCAGGTTTAGTTTTTGTGCATGGATTATTATCAATAGAGCTGTGATACGCTGCGGGTATTCCACATTATTCAGCCCAGAACTCGGCAAAACCATTCTGCTATTATACATGATTTGGTCACTTCATGTAAAGTCTCTGTTCCTTAATACCTTCACTTGTCTATGAAGAACAATTGCTATTTTGCAGCGACAAACTAGTATGACCATGCAAGGTGAAAGGGAGTTGACATTTTGTTTCATTAATGTGGATATCTGTGCACGCGGGCGAGTGTGTGTGCGCGCATGTACTCACATTCATTCATTGTGTTGCTTTATTGGAAAAAAAGACAAAAACTAATGAACAGAGTGGACCTAAAACTAGCCCATGAGGTTGTAACATAGAGTAAGGAGAGATGAAGAAGAAGAAAGCTGAGGGTTAGAGAGGAAAAGCATGATGAAGAGATAGGTGATAGAGTTCAAGTGAGGTGCAGATGAAGAAATCGAGGTATCCGAGCAGGAGGCCAGAAGGAGTCGCCTCAGGGGAAGGCCACACACAATGATGAACAGATGGGGGATTGAATAATAATAATGATTAAAAAGAAAAAAAAAAATCTCATTACTCTCAATTTGTAAATGATGCATCCAAGCTATCAATGTTTCTTAATGATTTGGCAACATCCATAACAATATAAGGTTCCAGACAATTAAGAGAAAGTGAATTCTGTGCTGTCTCGCTGAGCTCAGAGAACCAGCAGCAGCTGGCACTTCTATTCGGTATTGTTTGGTTGCTATAAATTATTAATGGGAGTGAAGGCAATTAAAAGCAATGCAATGCTGAGCTATTGAGCCAAGCACCTCCAATCAAACTGTGCCCTCTCATAAAGCATATTTCATTCAGAATTCCACTTGACAAAAACTGTGAGAAGACAGAAGCCAGTTTAAAACATTGATTGGCAGTTAATATGGGCACGTCGCCACAAATCACATCATCCTTCCACCCATCCGTTTTGAAGACATGATGAAAGCCAGAAACTATCCCAGATAACTTAATGCTGCTTTTCCATTCACCCAAACAGGCTTGTTGCAAGATGTGGCGGCATGTCGCAAAGTACAGGCCATTCAACGCACAGACCGCAAAACTCTATGGGGTAAAATAGTGCAACTACAAGCAAATAGCATCGCTGATACTATAAATATACTTTTGAAATCGAGCTCTTCATCATGGCTGATGTCAGCCGTTAGCATGTTCCAGTGTTTGAGCATGTGCTACATTGCCAAGGTAGCCGCCGTTTTATTGTATGTATAGGTAGCTATTGATTGGAATATAAATTTTCTGTTTACAGCTGCTGGATCTCCGCCTTAACGCGGGTCTAGCCAGACTTCTCTGAAGAATCTAATGTACACCTAATTACTTAATTCTAAGTTTTTCCTGACTCTATAATGCATAATGACACCTCGTTCGCCTTCTCTGTAAAAAGTGCTATTTGTTGTAGTTTGTCACCACGGAGGAGAGGATACGCATCATGCCGCTCCTTGCTGCTGATGGTTCTGAAAAGCGGTTCCATTGGAATTTTGCTCCAACAATGTCCACTTTACTTACTCGTGGTGTCCCCATCCCAGCTCTGGGAGATAGGGCAGCTTCTTGATCCGGATGATGGAATCGTAGAGGGAGGGCTGCAGGGATTGTGCCACCGCGTTGGCGAGGATCACGGCTATCATCACAGGCAGGATGTGAGAGATCTGCCCAGTCAGCTCGAACACAATCACCGCAGTGGAAACTGTATGGGTGACCGCTCCTGACAACGCTGCTGCACCTGTACATGAGCAACAGGACGGTGCGCTGAGCAAAAAGAACGAGCATCAGTTGATATGAAAATACTGCACAGCAATGACACTCTAGGCCAGGGGTCACCAATGTGGTGCCCATTGGAACCAGGTAGATCCCAAGGACCACATTAGTAGGCATTGATTGTTTCAGAAGAGTTCAAGAGTACAAGTAGCACCAGTCAAAAAATGCATCCGGAAGAAAAAAAAAAAGATATACAAGTCACCCCTGACTCCAAGTCACATTTTTTAATAGGGTAATTTATATGATCAAAACTGAGACCAAGAACATTAGCGTTCAGACTTGCATCCAAAATCCTCATTCCCTAATTGTGGGTGCGTGTCAAAATGCTCTCTGAGCCCGGACTGCTTCACTCCAATCGTTCGGAAACTAGCACATGAGGTTTTTGACCTATTGTTATTTTGTTTGTTTTTAAGTTTGACCTATAAAAGCGTGCACAATATGAATTTTACCATGCATCATTCACAGCTATGATGTTTCAGAATCAAATTCCAACTGTTGCTGAACCGAAGTCTTAATTCATAAATATTATTATTATCCCCACCTGCTGCCAAATGACAGCAGAGATAGGCTCGAGCCTGCCTTCAACTCTCGTGAGGATAGGCGGTTTGGATAACCGATGGTTGGATATTATGATTATTAGTATGGAAACGTGATTTGCCAGAGAAAAAAAAATGAGAGCAGATTCAGAATCAGTGCAAAAAAATTTATCTAGAAAAGTTTCCTTGCAGCTCTGATTTAAAAAAAAATGACCATATTTTCCACACTATAAGGCGCTTCAGACTATAAGGCGCACCTTCAATGAACGGCCTCTTTTAAAACTGTTTTCATATGTAGGCTAGACCGAATTATATGCCGCATGAAAAAAAAAGTTACAATAGTGGCTGCGGTTACGTTAGGCATCCACTAGATGACACTACGCTAAAAGGAATACAATACAATACAATACAGCTTTATTTATATCGAGCGTTCACAACCGCTGCAGCTGAAACAAAGCGCTTTACAGAATATTTAAAATGACACATCCGAGAAATCAGAATATTGATTCATATATAAGGTACATCGGATTATAAGGCGCACGGTCAGCTTTTGACAAAATGGAATGCTTTTAGGTGTGCCTTGTCATGCAGAAAATACGGTAGTAATGTGTTGAACATCGCAATGATTTACAGTTGTGTTTGTCACTCAATAGTCACCATTTTAACTCAAGAACATTGTGACAGAAGAGACTTCAGTTCAGTTCAGGTGAGAGCATTATTGTCCGAAAGGGGAAATGCAAATATTTATGATAGTGTATATCAAAAGTTGCAGTGTACAATTTTTGTCAGCCCATGGGATGGAATCCTGCATTACAACAAGAGAGACTTTCACTATGTTTTCATGTAGTCAATAACACTTCAGGTGCCGTCAGCTGCTGGGGGTGTGAGTCTTTGTGTTTCTGGTTATTTAATATGGTTTTAAAGATGTGAAACCACCATTTTGAACGAAGATAGACTTCCATCGTGACGTTGTGCATGAAGGATACGTCACAGCAAATAAACACATTTGATTGGACGCCTTGTTATGAACTGGGGCCCAGCCGCGGTGGAGGGCAGGCTTTACCGGCCCACTTTTCCTTGGCAATTATCTAAAGTGCGTGCCACATTGCACAAGACAAACTGAAGGACAAAAATTAATTCCAAAATCAATTCATTTGCGGAAACACAGTACAGTCCTGATGGCAAAGGTACTTGGAAATGTTAGCATCATCCCTAACATGTTATCTCAAAGTTCTGAGTTCCTTCATATGACATTTCCAAAAAACTGTTTCATCATTGAGGAAGGTTTTACCCTGACAACTGCTGAGAGTAATGTATAGAAGCAGCACTATTGATCAGTTGCTCAAACTGGCACTGCAGTCTCTTTTCCCCAAACCCAATTACTATTTCGCTCCGCTTTTCAGCTCATTCAATTCAAAGAGAAGTTCACTATTTCCATACCGTTTTTGACCAATAAAGTGTTGCGGATAACAATACAAAAGCTGCAATGGAGCGACACGGGAGAACAAAGTGAAGAGAGCCTTCATTGCTCAACCGGCAAAACGGATCAGACCCGTCAAAAGACTGAGATAAATACTCGGGGATGGTGGGAAGGCGTGGATAGTGGAGGAATGAAAGCATTCAAATAAAGTGAAAAGGGGTTACAAAGCCAAGCCAAATAAATGGCATTCCAGAGTTGGAGGTTTCATTGTTCTCTCACATAATTTAATTAAAGTTGGCTGCGTGCCGTCCAATTTCCTCCCTCTGATGGATGCTGCGCCCCATCTTCGCATTTAGCATGCACCACAAGCTCCTCGGTGGATCTAAAGAGGCCCATCAGAATGTCAAGGCCTGAGTCATTAGTTGTAGTGCACCACAACATCAGAATAATCATAACAGACAATAAACACAATCTGCAGCCTCTAATGGTACAATCAAATTAACTGCATATGGGGTGGCGGGAGCTCATCTGAAAGGGCTCAGGCTTTGAAGCCGGAGGGCAACTTTTCGAGTGCCGCTGCAGACAAACATAACAATGGCAACGAGCTGTTGGAAAGATGTTCATCTGCTTGTGTATCAGAGGAGTGAGACACACTGATCTTCGATGATTGATTGAACTGTCACGTCTGTGTTACACTAGGACTAGAGAGGAGAGAGAATTTAACCCTTTCAGAGACAGCGGTTACTAGCGTGGACAGCCTATCATGTTATCAGGTTACAGCGTGCATGAAAGGGTTAAAGATGTTTGTGTTTGAATTATCCCTCCATCCATTTTTCGAACCGCTTAATCCTCACTAGGGTCGCGGGGGGAGCTGGAGCCTATCCCAGCCGTCATCGGGCAGTAGGCAAGGGACACCCTGAACCAGTTGCCAGCCAATCGCAGGGCACACAGAGACGAACAACCATGCGCGCCCACACACACACCTAGGGACAATTTAGTGTGTTCAATCAGCCTGCCATGCATGTTTTTGGAACGTGGGAGGAAACCGGAGCACCCGGAGAAAACCCACACAGGCCCGGGGAGAACATGCAAACTCCACACAGGGAGGCCGGAGCTGGAATTGAACCCGGTACCTCTGCACTGTGAAGTCGACGTGCTAAGCACTGGACTACCGGGCCGCTTGTGTTTGAATTAGAATGGTGGAAATGGGACACCTCACAGTGAATTAAAACATTTTGGAATTGAGGCGCATTCGCCTGGGTACAAAACACCTATCTGGTCATGTGATACGATGTAGAAATATAAGCCCACAAGCTTGCAAAAATCTGAAAAAAATATATACAGAATATGATCATTTTTGCAGATGGGGGAACAGGTAAAGTTTTGAGACAAAAGATAAGCCAACAACCTTCAGGAAAAAGCACCAAGCCTACTCAGTCTATGTGTATGGCAACAGGCTCACAAATGAGGAAATGAAGCCTTCAAACAGCCGCCCCCATCAAAAAAACCAAACAAACAAACAAAACAAACTGAGCGCACTTAAATGCACCATTTGACTGCTCTCACCTTCCTTACACGAGGAGGTGACGCTTCCTCAGGTAGACGAGGAAGTGACGCTTCCTCGTGTCTCTTTCCATTGTGAGCGGACGTGTTCAAAAAACATTTTTTTTTTTTTTTAAAAAAAAAGCATGGTTTCGGTTTTCGAACAATTCGGATTATGGACGAAAACGGATTATGAACGAAAACCGAGGTTTGACTGTATACTGTACTTTCATTTCCAAACTTCTATCTTTGTGAAGATAGACTTTCTGCGATGAAAACTTTAGGGAGAAGACCCAACTGAAGCATTGCACTTCCGGTAGCCCATAACCCCGAGACAGGACAACAAATAAGGAAAGGTGTCCCATTAATTACAAAAGCTACAATAAGCGCAATAGCGAGTTGCATTTGTAATCATTTCTTTTTATTTATTTTAATTGGCAGTCATAAAAAAAAAAAAATGCTTCATGAGTAGCTGGTCCTCGGTGCAATAAAGGTTGGGGACTACTGGTTGAGACAATCAGTATTGCTAGGACTCCTGTCATCATGTTTTAAATGACTGATATTTTTTTTTCCCGCCCAACACACACACCCACGCGCACACACACACACACACACACACACACACACACACACACACACACACACACACACACACACACACACACACACACACACAAACACACACATTCACGCACAATATTTTATACAGTCCTCAGGGAATGCAGGATAATTATAAACAGGTGTAGCAGCACTTGACACAAGAAAGTTGGCATATATTTGCTTACCAACAACAGCATAACCTCCTGGTACGATGGGGTAGATGGTACCATCTGTGTTGATGCCATCTGGGAACCAGGCCGCCATGCTTTCTCCCACCAGACGACCAAATGCCGCCCCTAAATGATTGCATTTTAATGAAGCAATTAATTAAACCACTAGAATATCTTTTTGCTTTAACTACACTCTCTCACGCTCTTGAAAAAGTATAAACTCACGATGAGTTGATTCTCGACCAGAACAGATGGGATTACATTGGTACTGTTTCGGCTTCTCATCAGTTGAACAGTCTAATGTCACAACCGAACGACTATTCCTTTTTAGGATCGTCCTCAGGATTAGAAACAAGATGTACTGCATGTGGTAGGTCAATTATGAACATGTATTTTCTCTCGAGTACTTTACTGAATGAGTCAACTGAGTTTTGCTTTGCTAATCAATGATCACAATTGTAATTTTATTTCAAATATACCTAGGCTAATTTCTAATGGTGAACACACAAACAGACACATGGGTTGACGTGCCTTACCGATAACAAATACTGGCATGAAGGCCCCACAGGGTACTGGAATAGTTGTGGCCAGTGCAGACATCCAGAACTGCGAAGAAAAATGATAAGAGTTTAGAAATGACAATGAAAACAAAATGGAGAGTATTCACTGAGCTTCTGCCCGCCATCTCAATGACAGTGACTAGAATCCCCCCTAGCAAGGAAGAGGTGGCAGTACTGTACTGATCTTACTGCTGAAGTTAGATTAAGTTGTCACATTCCCTGTTAATTTGACAGACCTTCAAATTAGCTCTGAATAACGTGCAAGCTCGAAAAACTGAACAACACTGCATAAAGTGATTGGAAGAGTAATGAGATAAGAAGGCAAAATAAATGTAAATACTGTCATTTGGTATATAAATACATACATGCACACATATACAGTATATATATATATATATATACTGTATATATATATATATATATATATATATATATATATATATATATATATAATTATTTGTGTGTGTGTGTGTGTGTGTGTGTGTGTGTGTCTGTTAGTTCACAATCCACAACCCTAATTATCCTATCAGTTTTACTTTCATAAAGACGTATTATGAAATAAATAAATAAATAATAAATCAGGTCACCTTTAATCTAAGGTGGCGCACGATGGTGCAAAACCTGGAGTTGTTAGCTGTCAGACTGCTGACAGCTAACAACTCCAGGTTGCAGCTTGCTATCAGAGCTGTTGCAATATATCTTGTTCAATTATTATTATTATTCTCATTCAAAGTTTGTTACATGTACAATTCACCGATGGCACTGCCAAAGAATGGGAATCTCAGTGCCAGGAGAAGCATTTTAAAACGGTACATGTGAGGTACGATAGTGATGTTCATGCATTTAACAAGCTGCAAAAGTGCGCCCCATGCCTCCGCGTCAGGTCTCTACGAAGGTAGGCAGTGATCAACTTTATTTTTCTGATTCGTTCGTGTAAGGGGCCGTTACGGCTGTTGCCCATCATGGCATGCACGTGTTGGTGCGTATGTGCATGTGTGCGCTCATCCATGTGCGAATGTCAAAGTTTGAGGGGTTTTTTTCCCTGTCAGACATCAAATCAACAACAGAATGTGGTGATGATCTTAAACTGCTGTAAAGTCGTACAGATTGTATTTACATCAGCTTCCAGATGCCAATGCAGGTAAGCAGGGAATTCCTTTTGAGAATAAATGCCATACCTATTTGCAAGCATAACTGAAGATTTCCAAATTAGCTTACAAGTAAGCCATTACACAGACCTCAACAATGTAATAATCTCAATATTTCAAATAGACTTCTTAATTACAGTTGCTGTCTCCACATCCCTGCACGCTTCTCATCCTCTCCCTCTTCCGCTCCCTGCACTCCATCCAGAGCGAGATGTAATTAAGACTGCCGTCGCAAAGCATCCGATCTTCTCCCGTAACACTGCACTGCTCTCTTTTTCACACCCCACATCATGCACACCTACACACACCCACAATCCAAAGCTATTGTCGTGCACCGGGGAGTTTGAGAAATGAATTAACAAAATAGGTGAGACAAGGAACAAAGCGGACTATTTGACTGTCCTCCACGGTCTCATCATCTTCCCTTTAACGTCATCTTCCAACCACTAAAATCTTTATACCGGCAAAGAATAGCATCTGGGAACTCATTTTACCTTTATTGAAGTGTTTATGAACTAGTTTGAGATATTTACCATGCATGTACATGTAGGTGTAGACTATTCAAAAAGTATAGTATATATAAGTTACAGTACATTTTTATGAGACAGATTGTAGTATGGATAATTGTGACATTATCAGAACACCAACGGCACTTTTGGAATGAATGATTTCTCTACATTGCGTATTTTATAAGCTTAAAGTGGCCGTTCGTCAACCTATTCAACTTATTCCTACTCCCCATGAGCCTTTGCATAAATTATGTGCGTGACTTCCGGTCGTTTTTTTTTTTTTGACATGGCAACTGTTTCCACAAGTCCACTTTCTATATCGGTTACAGACGTAAACAATGTGAGAACACAAGTTGTTGCATTTTAGAAGAGAAAATATTTGATTCCCGCCTCCTGCTAATGTAGCGGAGCATGAGATATTTAAAAAAAAAAAAAAAAAAGGCCGGTGACAATGTAGTCACATGTTTAACCCTTTCATGCATAAATAATGATAACATACATCACGAAGTGTTTTTATTAGTCTTTTAGGCGTGAAAAAAATTATAACAATGCCAGTGGATGGCAACACATAAGTGTCCATCGTGGCGGCTGATGTACAACTGTCAGATTAAGATGAATTAATATAAGAGAAAACAACGTTTGAATAACTGTCCACTCAAGTAACCGTGTCATGAGCAATCTCAAAAGCTCTGAGACGTATCAGGACCTACACAGTAATCAAGTTGGTCCCATTTTGACAGTCTTATGTGAACTAAAGTAGACAGAAGACCCAACCAAACTTTCTACTTCCAACAGCATGGTAACCATACGACTGAAACAAGCAACATGTCGCTCAGTGTCACAAAAACTGCGATCAATCTTCGATGTTCACAGAAAGAACATCTCTACTGAAGTCAACTTCAACCGCCCACTGCAAATATTAGAACAATCACACCAGTCTTTTGAATTAACATAACATCTTCATCTCCATAGGCGCTCACGGCAGCTTATTGAAAAATGCTGACTGTCCATAAAATTCAAAGTACTGCAACAGAGCTTCCCTCGACCTCCTGACTACCCGCGGTAGTTGATGTGTGCCTAGCGAGGCTTTGTGAGACTGTCTCGGTGGTTATTTTTCTGCTGATACTGAGTTTCAGTTTTACTATTCAATATTTATTATCCATCCATCCATCCATCCATCCATCCATCCATCCATCCATCCATCCATTTCTGATCCACTCATCCTCACAAGGGTCGTGGGGCGTGCTGGAGCCTATCCCAGCTGTCTTCGGGCAGTAGGCGGGCGACACCCTGAAGTGGTCGCCAGCCAATCACAGGGCACGCAAACTCCATATAGGAAGGCGGAACCCACGACCTCTGCACTGTGAGGTCGACGCATTAACCACTGCATCACCGGGCCGCCCCGATATTTATCAATGAGGCGCAAATTATTACGTTTGACCTACAAACAGCGATGTTCAACCGCTTCTTCAACCTTTATAACCAGAGAACATTGATGGACAAAAATGTTAAATTACTATCAAGGAATATCCATTTTTAAAAAGAAATATTTCTTTGTTATTTTTATTTTTTTTTAATCCAAGTCTATCTGTTGAATCCAAACTAAGGCAGAAATCAGGTGCTGTCAGTGTTACACATGGACAAGACCTTTTCTGCCTCTTTTCCAACAAGGGGATATAAAGTACATGAGTGGGAAGCGTACACTGGACATCATGTTTTACTACTACTGGTAACGAAATGTAATGTCATGGAAACCAATGCAGTAATCATGACATAATGTTAGTATTATCAACTGTATATTATATAATAATATGGCAAACATAGGAGTTTATAATTGCCTCTACAGTATACAGACATTATATTGCACTAACACAAAGTATCTATTTTATAATAGTAGCATAATTGAAAAAAAACATACATCTCATTTACCTCAAAATGTTTACATCCAGCACCATCTATAAAAAATATGTTGTTTTACAAGTACCAAAAGACTGGCCGCCATCAAAATACAAGAACATATTGGCCGCAGTTTTCATAAAAATGAAGCAGAGGTCCATCCCTCCATTTTCTGATCTGCTGGAGCCTATCCCAGCTGTCTTCGGGCAGTAGGCGGGGGACAGGGCAGAACCGGTTGACAGCCAATTGCAGGGCACATAGAGACGAACAACCATTCGCGCAGCAAAAAGTCCTAAATTCATAATTCAACTAGACTGTAAGAAATTGTTTTATGTTCCGTGCCGTATAAGCTGACACAATTTTTCATAAATAACCACCGAGTCCCACACAGACCAAAGATGCACACAGCAAATGGGAGCCAACAGTTTTCATGATTGCTGTCCACGATAATGGTATTCAGCTCCAAGGTATACCAGATTTGTGCGAGTGTGTTCACAAATCTCGCTTTGTAAAGACACCATTTTAATTATTTGTTAGAGTTCCAACCACTGATTAATTCAACATCCTTCTTAGGTCTGAAAACAAGGGGCCCCTTAACTGAGAAGTTTAGTAGTTGGAATGAAAGTTTGCTCGAAAAGGAGCACCAGGACCAGATGGCTGCCATGTTGAATCAAAGAACTATTCATGACAGAGACGGATAGTAAGAGAGCAATTTCGCCTTGAAAATCACAATGCTGAATCCAAGAAAACAAAAGGCTGTAATTAGGCAGAGACAGATCCACTGCGAGAGCAGTGTGTGTGTGTGTGTGTGTGTGTGTGTGTGTGTGTGTGTGTGTGTGTGTGTGTGTGTGTGTGTGCCTGCGTGTGAGTGAATGATGCAAGGTTCTGGCATTTGTGAGTAGCCACAATAGAGGTGGTTATGTGTAGAATGGCACGATAATGACAGAAAAGTGTGAATGTCTGTCCTGTCTGTTTCTTACACTTTCAGCTTTGGAGAGACGAGTTTCTCAACCACATTGTGTGCGGCGATTAAATAGATGGGATTGATGCAACCTGGTCATGAGGTTAAGTCGAGCGCACTGTGAGAGGGCCATTGAGGCTTATTGATCTTGGAGACATTCTGGAACTTTTACCAAACGTGATTGTTTTTGCCCATATACATATATACATATATGTATGTATGTATGCATATTCATTCATTTTCCGAACCGCTTTTATCCTCACTAGGATCGTGGGGGGTGCTGGAGCCTATCCCAGCTGTCTTCGGGCAGTCGGCAGGGGACACCCTGAACTGGTTGCCAGCTAATTGCAGGGCACACAGAAACAAACAAACAACCATCCACGCTCACACTTACACCTCGGGGCAATTTGGAGCGTTCAATCAGCCTGCCATGCATGTTTTTGGAATGTGGGAGGAAACCGGAGTACCCGGAGAAAACCCACGCAGGCCCAGGGAGAACATACAAAGTCCACACAGGGAGGTCGGAGCTGTAATCGAACCCACGACCTCTGCACTGTGAGGTCGACGGGCTAAGCACTGGACCACCAGGCCGCCTATATAATTTATATATATACACACACACACACACACACACACACACACACACACACACACACACACACACACACACACATTTATACTGTACATATCCATCCATCCATCCATCCATACATACATACATACATACATACATACATACATACATATACAAACATGTGTATGAAGAACAATATTCAGTGTATCTGTTATCGTCACCTACCTTCATGACAATGAAGATCACCAGTGTGACAAAGACGTTGACCTGCGGATGTTGCCAGGCCTGGGAGTGTCCAATGTAGTCAAACTCTTCAGCAATGCCCTGTTTAGCCCAAGTGCGGTTGTCAAGCAATGTCACCAGCGATTCCTTCTGGGTAAGCTGCGGGCCACAGAAGGTATCATTATGTTTAACATGGCATGGGTTGTGATGGTAATAACCTAAAGGCATATGGATTTGAGAACAATTTGAATTTAGATTTGAAAATAAAATGGATTAAATTGTCCCAGTCAAATGGAAATATGGTGCTGGGGTATTAATATTGCTATTATTAATATCACTGTGGTTGTATTTTGCAGTGGTTTAGAACTGCACTTCCATCATCATGAGAGGCATTTAGAATATTTTTATCTTGCTGTAAACTGCAAACGAGTCTGAACATTGTTTATTATCAATTTAGAACAAACTAAGCGTACCTTTTCTACTAGGGATGCAGTAGGGGCTAAAGTTGCAATTTGGGCAGGTCTCATATGATTTAATTTTATTTTAGTATGGGAATGAACTACCCGACATTCTGAATGAAACGGCATGGCAAGGATTTCAAGGAAAACACATATTCCATTTTCAAGCAAAGTTACAATCAATTTTCTTACCAAGAAAACAAAGTTATTCATTGGAATGATATGTAACCCACAAATATATATTTGCACACATGTTTTACTTATTTTTTGGGGTCACAAATTCACATTTTTGCACACACATCTGCACACACATCACATACATCTACATTGTGACCTATTTTTTTTTTCTCCATGTTATTTCAGGGGCAGATTTTCTTTCGTGAATGGCAATTAGAATCATAAAAAAAAACTGCTGTGTGTTGGACTTTTGGAAAGATTTAAACTTTGTATGCTTTGTTGATATTCCAGAAAGAAATGCTAAATATTTAAGATCGTATGCAGAGAGACTTACATGAAGACTATCTGCAGTTGATCTTAAAAGATGGTTTACAATTTATTGACACAAGAGGAGGATATGAAAACATTTTGCATGCCCATGCTTTTGATGAGCTTTAAGAGGAGTGGTTTAGCATGTCTCCTGTCAGGTACAAAGGACTGTAAAAAGGACAATATTTGCAGAATGTGTGCATATATCTTATTTTAATACATTCCCTCAGTAATCTTTGCAATACAGATGTTGCAAGTAGTAGAGGACACATACCTTGCCAGCCATGAATTGTCCAAAGCCAGGTGGAAATGTTAGCGTGGAAATGAGTAGAGTTACCAGTGCTGGATACAGAAGACGTCTGAGAGAAAGATATTAGCCAGAGGCAATAAGACTGAATTCATCCAGCACAAGGCCAAATGTGCATTTCATCAATCCGTATGATTAAAAGTTACATGCTGGAGATTCACTTTCCATGATATCAGTTGTTTTCAAACTTTTTAAACCAAGTACCACCTTAAAAAACTCTCAGCTCTTCAAGACTTAAACATTGAGGGGCATATTCTTCCGGGTGCTTAAATCAGAAATGGTACGCTGTTGCACACTTTTTGGGCTCCCAAGATTCTCTCATCGACTTAAGTGTGTTACTCACGCACCTTCATGAAAGTAATGCATTCTGAGAGGAGCGACATTGAAATGAAGCCGTCTCCTGTCAAACCTAGATGCGTGCATATTCTCCCAGGGATTTAAGCAGCCTTCCCCTTGCGCACTCAGGAGGCTGTACTAAGGACTAGCATGTCTTGAATGTCAAACATCATCTTGGAAGTTTTGATTCAATCAATTACTCGCATGCTCGGCTGGTGACGGCCGCGTACTCAGCGGCTGCTCACTCATGCCGGTGGCTTGAGGTTTATCTGAAAGCGACGCTCACAACAACTGCAGTCAAGGTAATGGTGGCAACGGTGATTTAGATTTGGAAACATTTGTTTTTATTTGACATGTGCGGGTCGTCACGCACTTTCCAACTAATTGAACAGATGCAAATATACTTTCAGTTTGGGCTGAAACAAGCCTTGAAGTAATTTGAGTACATCGATTCAAAAAATGCTTGAGGTATTTTTTTCCTGCCTTAGCATGGTTTTATTTTGAAGTTGTTCCAGGCAGCGTGACACGGCGTAACAGCAGAATGGACTTGTCCCTCGGCTGTATTTGATTATTTACACAAACTGTTGCTACAGATGACAATAACACAACTTTGTCCTGAAATAATCTTCAATCGCCAGTTAAGGGTGCTAAAAAAACTACTTAATTGCGCTGACATTGTATTGTTTAGCACGATCAGCGCTAGCACCCCCAAACTAGCCGCTATCAATGCTCAAATTAAGAGACCTAAATGTCTGTACACTTTGATGCTGACAGCCTGACACAGTTGCTGATCCTACCGATCACTTTTCAATAAATCAGCTGACAACAAATGTATCCGACAAAATCGCGGTCTGATGGCACTTCGTTCATAGGATAAAATTTCAAGGGAGAGATTTATCTAAATTCTCACAAATGTTTTTCGAGAAGAAAATAGTGTGCTGAACAGTTTAAGTACAAAATGTTGATTATCTAACTATGAAAAACAATATCTATAAACAAGCCAAAAAAAGATCATAGTATTTTATGTATTTATTTATTTTTTTAATCCAAATAGCTGATTCAAGAGAATTTTCAGTAGGATTTCCAAATACCAAAATATTCGATAGCTGCAGCCCTACTTTCAGTAAGAAGCACAGTCCTGTGATTAAGTTATCGCTACTTTGTATTTATGAAATACATTATGCAAATACAGATGCTTCTTCACACCGTCTCCACATCACTGGCTAAAATCAGTATATAACTTCCGGAACCATATGCAAGACAACCTCATATTTGAAGTGTGAAATAGATTCCAAATGGACCTCTACAGCATTCACGTCTGTCACAGGAAAAGTCCACAATCCGGGACACACCGGTTGGTGTGTTAAAAGACTAGACAGGAGAATCGCCGCGCTCTAAACATGCATAAGTAAGGCGCTTGAAGAATTGACGGATAATAATAATAATCATCATCATCACCATCACAAAAATAAGTATATCAATAAATATTATATGATTATAAACGTACAGATAGACATTTATTAACACAAGCTCGGTTTGGGAGTATAGGGAAAAAAAAATTGTTCACGACATTCAAGACAAAAATTGGGAGCTGGAGCACACGTGAAAAGAGTCTGTTTTGTTACTTCACACACTAGCCTTTTACGCACAGACGCCGAAAATGCTTTCTATTCTCACAATTTTCTGACAATGAGAAAGACGTGAAAACCTGGGACTTTTAAAAGAAAATGGCTTTGCTTTTGACATGATATAATGTGTGATGCTCACTTTTTCATGAGGAATCTGTTGATGGCCTTTTGATTCCGGATGAACTGGACAATCAGACGGTTCAGGTACACAAACAAAGCTCCACCAAAACCACTGGCAATGCTGCAATGAGAGATGGGCATGCATGAGAGATGATAGGTGAGTGTCAGAGAGTGCCCTCATAAGGAATGATTGCTTGGTGAGGAGAAAAAATACCGTATTGGCCCAAATATAAGACGGTGTTTTTTTGCATTCAAATAAGACTGAAAAAGTGGGGGTCGTCTTATATTTGGGGTCTAGACATTATACCCATTCACGACGCTAGATGGCGCCAGATATCATTGAAGCGAATGCTGAACTTGACTCCCCAGGCCAAAGTGAACCCCTGTCACAAAGAATAAAAATAAAAATAGCGGTAGCACGAAGAAGAAAAATAAAAAATTGCGGTAAGAAAGAAAAGAGAAGAAAATAATAGAAGAGATAACAGAAAATGGCGACAATCTGGAGAAAAGTGGGTCGAAGATCGGCCAGGTTAACCGGCAGCTGAGGAGAAGTTATGATGTCATTTACATTTCAAAAACCAGAAGCCATTCATTTACGAATGTGAGTGCATTTTAGTTTACATATTTAAATGTTCAGATATTAAGATTTGAATGAGGCAAAATAACATGCTTTTTCTCTCAAATATATTGTTATAATCATTTCTTTCAGATGTACTGTAATTACTGACTTGGAGCGAAAGTCGGGGTACGCCCTTGACTGGTCGCCAGCCAATAGAAGCTTGGCAGAAAAGGAAGACATTGAGATTTGTTGGTTTCATTGCCTGGACTTGTATTTTATGAAGAGTCCACAAACATCCATAGTTCAATATCCATGTAAATAAACTTAACCACAACTTCTGTTTAGAATGTGTCAAAACCTCCGGTCAAAGTTTTTTGCTTGACCTTGACATGTAGGTTCTTCCAAAGAAGAAGTGTTTGCGATCCTTCTGTACCTCACTTAGTTCAATGTTGTAAATGAGTCTCATTCAGCGTTAGGAAAAGCTCTCCCGGGCAAAGGAGGATATAAAAGCTATCCCTCAGTGACCTAGCAACTGTTAAAGGATAAATTATCCATGTAAAATGGCTCACATAGGTTCGACTGTTAATAGAACGAGAGAGAGAGAGAGAGAGAGAGAGAGAGAGAGAGAGAGAGGAGCTCGATTCCAGTTAAAACTAGAGCCATTCTAATCAGAAAACTGTAAACCATGCACATAAAAATGTCAAAATATGTAAAATAAGCATGTGTAGAACATAGGACTTTGGATGGGTAAAATTAAAATCAATCATTTGAGTTTGTGCAGAGTTTGGAAGATTTCAACTTGGATTGTCTGGAGTTGAACAATCTTTGAAAAGCAGTTCTTTTTCTGTTTTCATTCACATTTATAGCGCTCAAATTCAGCATTTCAATAATCTGCTCATGTATGTTCATATTTGTCACGTCATCAACCAGCAGGCCGCCGTGCCGCCCAAGGAAAACATTGTGAAATATTTAGCTTTCGTGAAAATGAGATCAATTAAGAAACAAAACCGGCAAATAGTTAATAATTGAAAGAAAGAATTCACTGGTTTTGACCATCAACAATACTTTACTTCCAAATAAAATATGCAGGTATTAACATATTGTATTTCGTGAGCCAGTCAAACTCACCCAATGACAGCAAAAGCAGGCAGCTCCTGGAGGTCAAATGGGAAGTCGAGCCGGAAACGGGTTTTAAAAAGGGCTGTAATGGTCTCTGAAAATAAAAAACAAACAAACAAACGAAAAAAAAAATATATATATATACATCGTATATATAAAGAAAATGTTCAGCAGCAATTAAATTGGGGAAAATACACTGAAACAAAAATCTCTCTTAATTGGATGCAGTTCAATATATGGTGTACATTTGGGTTCCTAATTGAAGGTAAAGTGTGAGAAATACACAAAAAGTTCAGCTCATTATGTGTGCCATCTTGATTCTTTCCCATCAGCAGAGGAAATAACAACGGCATAATTAAACTGGCTGGAGGTTTGAACTTCCGAGTCACTCTCGATGATGAGATTAGCTGACTAACTATTCACTGCATCTCATTTGCATGCCAATGTTTTGTCTGAAGGGATCATAAATAAATGTATATCGAACAAGATTAGTTTCCTTTCAACATTATATGATATATACAATACAATCCAAGCCTTTCAAGTCGGTAGTCGTATGGTTCGAGTTGCAAGTGTTCATTGAAATAGTTTTCAAGAAATGCATATCTGAAGATGCATCATTGTGTGGTCTTGTGACATGAGTATCTCATAAGCAATGTTCCCTCAAATTTTCAAAGTGGCTGAGTAACATCTCCTGTGTAGACCTATATCTTAAAAAAAAACAACATACTGTAAGTCATTGACTATGTTAAGTTGTATTGGATCCTTGAAACAAAAAATTTCCAAAATAAACCATTATAAGCCGCAAATGACATTATTGCTCTTGATGAGTAAATACAAATGCATACGCCCCGTCACTTACAACTATTAATGTAAACAAGAGGCAATACACTCATTTCTGTCTTACCTTCGTCTCTGTTCCAAACAGCAAGCACTCTGAAGATGAAGGCACTGAAGGTAGCAGCAAAGAAACCTCTCCAATAGTTCCTCACCGCAAAAAATGTCGATGTTACTTCAATACTGAACAACACACCTGAAAACAACACAGACAATGCCCATCCACATCATGAGAGATCAGTTTAGCGGCACGATGAAATGACTTCAGACACGACATGATTTTAAATTTGAGTATGGCATTTAAAGCAACTACTTTTGATTGCAATTACTGTCATAAAGATCAGCTACGGTATAAACATTAAGTGTCAATTGGAAACTGGCCAACACAGTGTAACAGTCATGCAACCGTCAGCTTGATGCCAGCCAAGAAAGTATCGCAAGTGCAGTATAAGCAGTGGAAGCAGAGGTGTTTTTGTGTTATGTTTAGCAATTTTTACATTTAATCTTTATAGGTTTTTATCGATTTACTGCACGTTTGGCAAACAACTCACCTCCTATTGGCGCTGCAAAACAACAACCAACTCCCACTGCACAGGCTGCTGCAAGCATCTCGATGTTCCTCGACTCGTTCTGAACCACGCGCACACATACGCACACGCACACACACACACGACACAAATGGTTATTGTAAATTCCAGTCAGTTTTTGATGTACATTTTTCTCGATTATTAAGGTAAAAAAAAAAAGAAAATATCTGACGTGTTTCTGTCATTGCATCAAGACAAAGACATTGGAACCTCTCTTCGATATCACCTTAACAACTCTCATCCATAGAATTCCTAAATCCACTTATGGTTTCTGCCTGCATCTCCTTTGAGGAGGCAAGAATTCCCCCCCAGAGTTGCTTCTTGGAGGTATACCACCACCCTTGATCGAGCTTCCATTTTATCAACGCTCCACAGATTCTCAAGAGGGTTAATGGCAGGGGATGATGGTGGGTGCACCATAACTGTTTTCTTCTATTATGGCCACGGCTTTGATGGAATTTTCTGCAGCAAGGGCCTTGTGTTGGCAGCTTTCTGAGCGAACCATCTCATTCCCCATTATTCTAGTGCCAAACATGACTCCCCCAAAAAATCCTTGCTGACATTGCAGCCCTGTGTAGGATACAGCATAATGGCCAGCCAGCAACCATCCGAAAGCCCATCCATCTGGACCATTCAAAGTAACAGGTAATTCATCAGTGAATAAAACTGGAATGGAATTGTATTTTTAATCCCACTGCAAAGATTTTGCCTTGCGAGATTGGTTCGGGTGGCAGAAATTCACTGTAAGCCTTTGCATTTGGAGGACACATGAGACACCAGCAGCTTCAAATACATGCTTGCTGCTCAGCGGTGGCATTTTAACAGTTGCTCTCGCACTGACAGAAACTTTCCGAATTTTCTCCGAGCTACACTCATTAAACTCACCCGGAAAAAATAATATTCAAACACATTTCAGATTTGTATCAGTGGTCTAAATAGACAGGATAAACTAAAACGCCATTGTTTGCTCACCTCTCATTTGCACATTCATTTGAAACACAGTGTAGCGTGGTGAGTGCGAACCTATGCTGCTTTTGTGCAGTATATTTACTTCCAACAAAGTTGATTTTGAGAAGGGTATTCCGTATAGTCAATTAACCAATGCACTAATAATGATAACCTGTAACCTGATAACATGATAAGCTGTCCACCGTAGTAACCGCTGACCCTGAAAAGGCTAAAAGATACAATTGATATGGGTTAAAAGATGGCAAGACTACTACACTAAAAAGTGCTCAAACAGCAAATGTCTTATATCTGCAACTGTCTAAACATATATTTTGTGACTAGCGAGAATAAGATTGACAAGATACCTCATAAATTCCTCCAAAAAGAGACATGAACTTGCTGAGGAGCGCTGCACACAAACTGGCAATGTGGACAAATGGACCCTGGAGAGGAAAAAGGCACAGCGATAAGAATTGTGTGCGTGTGTGTATACATACATCCATATACATGCATTGTTTGTTTGTTTGTTTGTTTATTGAACATAAAAACATATACAGTAATACATTGACAGAAAGTAAGGTAAGTAAAATAGTAAAAGGAAAGAGAAATCAGTCATCACAGAAACGAGAATAAATATTAAGGAAGTAAAATGACAGGAAGAGCCTGCACTCAATACAGAACATAAATGGCATAAGGCAGTTTAGAGAATTGGTGTAGTAGAGTGTTGTCGTCTCCAAAACGATTGTAACAATAAGGCAAATTCCTTTACTTTTGTTGAAGACTGACATTTGGATTTGACATAAACGAAATGAGACAAGAGATCAACCTTTTCAGCTTTCTTTTATTTTCAGGTATTTGCAATTTGTTTTTTAGACAACTTGAATGACAACCCCTGTTTGAATCCAATGTGAGCAAAAGTATTGCAAAGTGTGTCCTATTGGTACGTGCCGAGTTGTGTGAGTGTTCAAACAATGTCTTTTCTCAATTTGTCATGTGGGTTTTGCCAGTGAAGATTACATTTATAATAGCTGGAGGTGTCACCAAAAATGGAATGCAAGCAATTGTGGCACTGACCGAAGATTGAAAATCTGTCACAGACATTGCACAAACATTGAGCAGAGCCAGTACAACCACATGGCATGTCATTATGAGGAAAGTGACCCCTTGTGTTCTTGGTGACAGGCATTGAATGGCGAGAGTAACCGCTAGACCACGGAACACAATGACAGAAACATTTTTAGACCTGAAAGTATCACAATCCACTGTTCACATAAAAATTCACGATTATATTAGGAGGGTGTTAACACCAGATGATGCAAACCACCAAGTCGCAAGAAGAATAGCAAATCCAGGCTGTGATTTGCTGAAAATACAAAAATGTACCTCCAAATATTTTTATGGACTGATGAGACTGATGATTAACTTGGCGAAAGTTGGAGAAAGACTTTCAGCTATGGTCTCACTAATCTTTGTTGACACAGTCACAGAAGCAAAATCTAATCCGCAGGAACATTTTGTCTGCCACTTTATAGAAAAATTAACTGCCCGAATTAGGATTTCCTTCCTCATGCAGCAAGCTAATGACCTAAAACACACTTCAAAAACAACATAGGAGGTCACTAAGGGCAAGAAGGGGATATGTGACTTCCTGACAACTCACTAGCCCACAACACCAACGTTTTAGGTAAAAAGCATGACTAAAGAGTGCAAAAGTTTGAAGATGTCAATGGGTCACAGGAATGTTGCAGTTACTGCAAGCGAATCATTTACATCCAACTATTACATCATATTCACGTAAATCTATTTGAGGTCCACCAGTTCCAATGTTGCAACCATTGCTAAATGTTCAGATCCAGATGTCAAAACCTGCGAATAAAAATGAAAATCTTGCTCCCCTCTCATCTTTTAATGTTAAAGTCTCAAACGTGTGGTTTTCTTTTTTTTTTGGTTTAAAAATAGAAGGCTCGGCCTTACTGTTCCAATACATATGGAGGGCACTGCTTAGTCTTCAGGCAAGACTGTGTGCAAGTATTTGAAACACACTTTTCTTCGTTCCAAATTCCTCAAAATATACATAATGTTACTGTAGTCATGCATGCACCAATGCATTTGTTCAGAAGATAAACAACATCTGCATAACCGCGTTGCATATAATACCAAGCATCCCTTTGCCTCCCACTGGGTTTATAAAGCGTCTCTCGTGAAAGCAGAGTTTTTCCAACTTGTCCCCGCTCATTTCTGTGGACTGGCACCTGAGCATATGTGCCTGCGGTGTGCCACTTGTGAATCATTTGTAATTCATGCTACAGGGAGACTGGAAAGTAGGGTACATATCTAGGGTAATGCTGCACATTACAAAAAGATTTCATAAACAATTTTGACAAGAGTTTGAAAAGTTGTTATAGGCCGACACATGGAGGTGAATTGAAACAATTGAATAGGGGATACGTTTTCCACAAGCCTTCTGGCTAGAGGGCTTCCACAATGGCGACCCATCCCATGAGTTTTTAAACTAAACGAGTCAGATAGATGCGTGCATATTCACTCCAACAACAGTTGCTCTTAAACTGTTTCCACTGTGCCCGACGTCAATTCACAACAACTGGGCTTGACCAAAGTTTTGTTCTTCGGGGCTGACAAGTGTGGGTCATGCAGTGTGTTAGTGTTACCTCCTTGCCCAGCGGCATTCCACTGCCCAGGGCACAGGTTAGGCCGATGACTTTTGCCACAAACGTTTTGAAAGTGAGGTACTCCTTCAGCACCACTCCTCGCAAGATGGTCTTCATTTCTGGAATACCTGAACCTGGAGTGCGCAGAGAAAGTGGAAAGAAAAAAAAAAAGAGAAACATCCACCATTTACAGTAGATGCCATCATTAAAGTGACTGTATGTAATGTGACACATTTTAAGCTGAAGGTAAGTATTTATCTTGCCTCTGGGCTACTTCTCAAAAAAATAGCTATCCCATCAGACAGAGCCATGAAATGCTGTTAAATTCATTCACGCAGACTGTTCATTTGTTTCACGCGACATGAGACCACCTTTCGTAGAAATCTCTATGAAATAAGGAAATCGAGGAGCGTCCGCTCATTTCCCCAAAATATTTCTACCTCCTCCCGCCTCGCTTCTCTGTGATTCTGAAATGAGCCACGACATGTGGGACCATATTTACTTCTGTAAACATTGTGCAATGTAACAATGGTTTGTGTGTATGGCACCTGACGTCTTGTGTTGTGAGCATGCGTGTCACATCACAGATGTGTTTCGTTCATGAGAATCAATGTCTATCTTCCTTTTTTTAACCCAATTTAATGTTTATGCCACAGCCCCGAATTAAAAGCATTGGCAATTTCCAAAATCTATTTACATGTGTGCAATGGTAAATGGTGAAAAAAGAAAAAAAACTGTACTGGAACATAGAAGCTCATTAACATAATATTGTTATGCATGAATTGATGGATATTTTTGTACCATTTTACAAAGAAAATGAAAAAATTCGAAATGGTATCAGATTATTGGCTATGCTAACACTTTTTAAATGTTTACTGACTTGCTTTTTCAGTTCCTCCAGTACTTTTAGTGGTCGAATATAGTAATGAATTTCTCAAGTACTAGTAGGACAGGGGAAATCAATTTGAATTAGAATTTACAAAACACTAAAAAACTTAAGATTCCTATTCTTTGCCCATTTTTTTAATGACGTGATCTAATCAATTTGTTTAGCACTGAACATATTGACAGTACCATAGGTATCTTGACCATGTAATTTCCTCTTCTTATATATAGTAATCCATCCATTCATCCATCCATCCATTTTCTGATCTTTTTTATCCTCACAAGGGTTGTGGGGGGTGCTGGAGCCTATCCCAACTGTCTTCGGGCAGTAGGCGGGGGACACCCTGAACCAGTTGCCAGCCAATCGCAAGGCACACAGAAACGAACGGCCATTCGCGCTCACACTCACACCTTGGGACAATTTAGACTAGAGTGTTCAATCAGCCTGCCATGCATGTTTTTGGAATGTGCGAGGAAACCGGAGTACCCGGAGAAAACCCACGCAGGCACGGGGAGAATATGCAAATTCTACACAGGAAGGCCGGAGCCACGATTGAACCCATGACCTCTGCGCTGTGAGGTTGACGCGCTAACCACTGGCCCACCGTGCCGACTATATAGTAAGTTGTCTTGCTAAATTTTAATGGCAGGGCATTGCACTTAAAAGTGATCTAAATAAAAGAATAAACAATCCTGTTGCAAAAACAACACTGGAAATCAACTGGACCCCAGCGCCACACAAGCACAGCCTGACTTCTGCATGAGGGTTCAGGTGACATTACTTTGGTGTCTTCTATCTACATTATGTGGAGTAGGAAGACAGTGCGACACCCTGTGAGGAAGGGATGCATTGAGTCGCAAATAAGACATGATGGGGCAAGGACAGGGGTCGTGAGCCATGCAGTGCTACTGGAGTGTGGTGGGAGGATTCCTTTACTCACTGTGATGGATAACGTCTAATGGGCTTATGGATCACTCAACAATTATTCAATTAAAAGATGGCTACTAACATGATCATTTTTCAATCGCTAGAGTAGCACAGGAGAGTTAAATAGTTACTTGTGTACGAGCAAAACACAAGTGACAAACTATTTGAAGAACTTGTGGAACGGAAAATTGCGTTCACATTTACATTTGTCGATTCTTGTATTTAATCATACCAACAGCCTGCGGAGCGAGTATCTGAGTGAAGCCAGCTGAGAAGGTGATGAGGACGACAGGGTATGTGACCCAGGCCAGATACTGCAGGAAAACATTGCTGTCCAGGCCACCATACATCCACTTCTGTGCTGTGGAAACAAATCCACAAATGTAACCAACACCACGACTAAACACAGACACGTATTGGAAAAGGAAGAGCATTCATGGTATTTCTAAAGATTGTGTATACGCCCGTTCAGAAAACATGATTTCACTCTTGTTCCTTTGTGTAGGTCGATCCGTTCAACATGTCTCACCCTGAAGGCAGATGGCAATGCAGAAGTCCACCACCCAGCTGACCAGCGCCATGAGGAGTCCCAGCAGGATAAGAAAGATCCAGTCCTCCCCGACCCGCGAGATCAAGAACTTCTGACAGCGAACAGTGCAAACTAAAGGCAAGACAAGAAGACAGCATGCTCAGGTTCAAAGCTCACAGAGTACAAAAACTCTGCCACCTTCAGGAAAATCCACCTCCATTTTAGACATAACTGAAAGTTCATTTTACAAGTTTATCAAGCAGCTCTTTCTGTCTGATGATGATGGTGGAGGCTACTTGGTGTAAAGCACAATAAATGTCAAGCTAATGATCACATTTATGTACATTTTTTTTTTTGCAAGGAATGTAAAAGTCTCGTATGAAGTGATTGTATGTGGAGGTGCATTTAACCACCACTTTATGAATTGCGTTTTTAGCTACACTTGGGAAATATTATGAACGAGATCAAGGTCTGTATGTCAGTTGTTTGCACTTTTTTTCCCTTTCTTTGGACAGATACCTTTGAATAATGAGTTCCCCCTGATTCTGTGGAACCACACTCCAGACCAGGGCTTCTGCAGTAAGACGTGACCCCAAAAATGTTGAGGAAAGCCTGCTAGAATATCTGAACTTTATTTAAGTTTCTGAAAAGCACTTGGTAGGAGGCGTGTGCTGATTTTCATGAGGGATGAGTTGGAATGCAATTGGTTCATTCGGAATACAGCCATGTCCCGGGTCCCTTATTATCTACAATACAATACATGCTGATTTATATAGCGCTTTCACAACAGCGGCAGCTGTAACAAAGCGCTTAACAAAACAGTTAACATAAAGTAAAATAATAAACACAACACATAACATAATACACGGACAGTCGTGCAGTCCAAACCACTTTTCCCTCACATGCTTTGTTGTTTAGAGCAGTTTGAGATGAAAGAGGAGAGAAACAAAGTGTCCTTTCACCAGTGGATCAGAGATGTCATGCTCAAAATGTGCACACGTCGGCTACAAGCTAAGCTTCAAAGTCAACAAGAAGTTATCTGACTTATACTTTCACTTTCCCTCTCTAAATAGCCATCCCTCTATTTACTGATCCGCTGGGGTGTTGAAGCCCATCCCAGCTGTCTTAGGGCAGTAGGCGGGGGACACCCTGAACCGGTTGCCAGCCACTCGCAGGGCACACATAGACGAACCATTCACACTCACAACCAGTTGATCAACAGGCTAGCCCCCTCTCTAAATATTTCCTTGAAATTTGAGTTGAGTTGTATATAGGTCACAATGTTTGACAATTTTATATTTCACAAAACATGGCAATTTGAAGAGGGGTGCGTCGACTCCTCATGTCAACTGAGGAACCAAGATCCAGTAACTCTTTTGGGGTTTTTGTAGCATACCTTGGTGGTCATGGTGAAGTTTTCATCGGATGGTGGGTGGCTTCATAATTTGTGGTCAAGAGCAAATATTTCAATCACTAAATAGCCAATAAAATAAATATCACTAAGCAGAATGTAATATAGTATTCTCATTATGACAAGCTCATGTGGTCGGCAGCCACCATGTTGGAGACCACTGCTTAAGAATCCGTTTGGACGCATTCTAAGTGACCTTCTTGTTAAACATTTCAACTTAAATGAATCATGAAAAAAAATCTATTAATTAAGATGACATTTTTCTTGCAATCAATTAAGGAAAATTATTGAAATACCCATCCCTTGTATGAAGTCCATTGGGATCTATCGCAATCACGTGTTGGAATCGGTCACAGCGTGTGTTGTCGTGCATATAACAGTTAGGGTACATGTGTGAGTGATTCGTCATCAGGCTTAAGTGCTGCAGCAAAACGGTTTGACGATGACTCATCGGATGTGCATGCACACGCGATATTTCAAAGCAACACTAATACACACCGTAATACTGTCGTTTTACTTTCCCCATCACCAACGTCTGTCCTCATTTCCTTTTTTCTACAGGGAAATCAGTCTTGGGAACAGCAGGTGGCTCCATGAACGAATGACATTCACCACCTTTTTTATTTGTTCCTTCCCAGATCTGCTCTTCTGTAGCACGGATAACAAATGCGTATGTAAGCTCTCTTGACACTGATCAGAAATTGTTCACCTGTTTTCACATGAATTGATGGCTAACCAAATCAATGTTAATTTTTACATCCATTACAAAAAAAAATAGCTGTATGTTAATTGAAGACTCTTAATTTGTCCATGGGTGTCAATATTATGTGCCCAGACTTGGCTGTAAAGCATTCCAAAGTCAGCTGGGAAAGGCTCCAGCTCACAGGCGGGCCTAATGTGTAGCAAATAGATGAATGGATGTATTGAGTTACTTCTTGTTCATGGGCGCTTTACCTTTTTCCTCACTGTGAACTCAATGCTCTATTGGTCAGAGACATGACATTTACATGGCCATTGATTTTTAAAATTTTTTTTGGCCATCAAAAAGTCTTGAGTTGATTATTGCAGACCCCTAAAGTGTATGAAGGGACAATGATGTCTATGTACAAAATGGCTGCTACAACTGGCTCACTGGGATTTATTGATTATGTGGCATTGACAGAAGTAACAAGATCAGATGTGTGAAACCTCCAATCACAAGTCAGTCCATGCCAACTTTGTTTTCAAGTGCCACTATCCATAAATGATGAGCAAAAATACCGTTTGCCATGTGAGATTGTATGTAGCAGCTGCGCACAAAACAGGATGCTCGGTCAATTGTACCCTACAAAGAGGAGACTGAAAGGAGAAACCTATCAAAACAAACAACAACTCAAAATGGCTGCGTTGAAAGACCGGATAAGCATCACAAAATAAGAATGCAAAAGTTTGGTGATGCAGTCCTTTTTTTTCATCATTATCATTTTTAGCATTATTTAGTTTTGTCTATTTTAAGTTTGTTGTGTGTGTTGTAATTCTTGGTTACTCCTTAGTTACAAATGACACCATCTTAAATTGTAATCATAATAATAATACCGTATTTTCCGGATTATAGATCGTTCTGGAGTAAAAACCGCATCAGCCATAAAATGCATAATAAAGAAGAAAAAAAAAACATGAATCACACTGGAATATAAATCACATTTTTTTTGGAGAAATTTATTTGATAAAATCCATCATCAAAAACAGACATGTCATCTTGAAAGGCAATTTAAAGTAAAAATAAAACACACTGAATAATTGTACGATATACTAGCGTTACATGACGCATAAACAACGAACTGAGGATGTGCCTGGTATGTTGACGTAACATTCAGTTATTCAGATAACTATAGCATAAAGAACATGCTAACAAGTTTACTAGCTAGCTAACAGTGTCACTCCAAATCACTAAATCCAATGAAATCTTCATCCTCTGTGTCACTTTTAAACAACTCCGCCAACTCCGGAGGTAGAAGATGTGGTGAATCATCTTCTACATCGCTTACGTCAGACTCATTGTCGATTTATCAATACAGGCCTAGTGCGCCCTGTTAATGTTCAATGTGAAAATACATGTGAAATGATATAACAATGTGTGACTAATTTCACATAAAAGTCACTCCAGAGTACAAGTCGCACCACCGGCCAAACTATGAAAAAAAATGTGACTTATAGTCTGGAAAATACGGTAATCAAAAATGAACTGTTGATTTCTTGCCTCATATTGAGCTTTTGAAACTTGAATGCTTTCCGTTTGCAGCATAATACAGAAACTGGCCTCACGCTTAAGAGAGCTGTGTGTATGCAAAGAAGTTAAAACTTAACACATTTGCATCTCCCAAGTGATAGGTGTGTTTCTAAACGGAATAGCTGATTTGACATCTGTCATGCAAACCAAGGTCAGTGGTTGCGCTTTTCCCTGGTTTGTCTGCTTGCTCAACAAGCTGACGCACAGAACAAGTTGTGCCTGGGTGGCTGCACGTCACGCGCAGGCTAATAGCGACCGGCTCAGAATCGTAGTGGGAGAAGCAGCTGCCGTCTGGCACAGTGTGACTGCCGCCTTTGTCAGAAACAATTGCTTGAGTTACGCCTCCCCCTTCCCTATTTCAACCTGTGTGTTTTTGTGAGCACAAGTGAAGATTGAGCAGTATTTTGCCAATTAAATGCAAAGTCATCGGTCTTGAAAATGAAAACAATAAATTTAAAGTATTTGGTCTGAGCATACCAAAAATGGTGTCCACTTCTCCTGAATGGTGTGTTTGAATAGTTTTGTTGATATTTGACACATCTGCAGGTTTTACGGCTAATCAGTGGAGAGAGTCGAAATAAGTTCTCATTTGACAGGTAGCGCGACACTGAAGTTTTGAAACTATTCTGCCCTCCTTTCACTCTGCATTATAGTAGCAGAAGATTTTCAGGTGGCGTGCGGAGGGAGAAATGTCAGACAGTAATGCACCGTGTATGCGGTGATAAAGTATACCTTGAAAGGGCTTAAGAAGCAAATCGATATCTTTCCAGTCAGCATTTCTAAATCTGCTCCATTGTGAGGTTTCTGCTTATTCCATCGGCTTAATTCTTTGACTTGCCACTGGTTTGCGTGGTGCCAAAGCAAAGTCCAAATTTGCATCTGCCTTGTTTCTACAAATTTTTTAGCATGTGCAGGCAGAATGTTTTTCTTTCGACATGAAAATGTAAGATGAACAACAATGAGTAATCATTTTTTTAACCTGCATTTGAGTAGCATGTATTCATGCAGGCAATATCTCAAAGATATTGCTGCACATGTGCGCACTCACAGACACAATCACACACTAACCTGCAGATGAATTGCTGTTTTTATTCTTGGAGGCATGCAACAAGAATCATGCTCCTTCAAAATCTCTCATTACCCACTGATCTCCCTTTGCCCTTCTCCATGTGATCACTCCAAAAACTGTTCTGCCTTTCTCATGTCTTTGTTACCCACGAGTAACCGCTCGACAATCTTGTTCTTTGCACCTTTCTTACTTGCTTCATATGTTCAATATAGGGCTGAAATTGGTCCTTGAGTAATTACAATACTCCAGTTCAAAAAACTCAAGGCATTTTTTCCGCTTATTTACATGTACACTGTCATACTATACATAATAGTAACACGCCACCAACACAGTAAAAAGGCCAACATCAAAATAAACCTTACCTTACCAAATAATACATGGACATCAGTGCCTTGGTACGATTTTATTTTGTTGTTCCATTGCAGCGCATCACGGTGTAACGGCTGACTTGACTCCTTTTCCAAACTGTGATTATTGACGTCACAAACTGCTGAGCGAAGAGAACAACAATACAATATTCCCCTCCAAAAGTGTGAGATTAGTAATTGAGGGTGCTGAAAAAAAAGAAGACTTAATTTTGCGAATATTGTATTGTACGGTGCCTGCTGCCAATGTGTGGAGCTAGGGGCTTGCAGTGCCGTAAATAGACCTAAATGACCCTGCACACTTTGATGTTGACAGTCTGACATGGTTGCCATTCACATTTTTTAACAAACCAGACTTACGCAAGTATGTTGTTTTAGCTGGCAAAATCATGGTTCTGATGTCACTTCATCTCATAGACCAAAATCTAAGGGGAGAGATTTCCCAAAATTCTTATAAATATATTTTAGACATGAAAATAGCATGCTACTGTGCACAGTTTAAATTTAAATATTAAACTCTGAATATCTAAAAATGAAAACAAGTTGGCTGCTCATTAAGTGAAAGTATTTTTGGGGAACCCCATTAAATTGGGGACCAATAAACATCACCTGTCCCTGATAAAAAGAACAAAAGTATTTACATTGAATACATAATCGATTTTTCAGTAGGATATTCAAGTACCAAAATATTTGATAGCTGCAGCCCTAGTTAATTTATTTTGTCATCTCTCTCCACAAAGACTTGTACTGCCCACATATGCGCTGAGAATCGAGATTTTGGTATACCTGTATGCAAAATAAGTGGTTTAACAAAGGAACAATATTGATGCGACGTATAAAATAATACGCACATCGAGTACATTAACTCGAAAGCCATCCCTGCCGTGAGCATGATTGAGTTTTTGTGGTGAAAATGCTGAGCAAGTATGTCCGTGGCTGTTTTCGAAGACCAGTTGGAACTAACTGGATAGTCATCTGAACCCCATTAAATTGGGGACCAATAAACATCACCTGTCCCTGATAGAATCTAAACCCCCCGCCGCCCCCCCCAAAAAAAAAAATTGATCTCTGCTACCTTTGGCATCTTAGACATTCAATCAGTGTGGTTCTTCATTAAACTGAGAATAATCTCAACAAGGCTGAAGAGAATAGTTTACAATTGGCGGGTCTCTGACAAAAACTATATTGTATGATGTCCAGTAAGCACATAAGACAAGTCAGTGTGGTAATAAACAAAAACAAGTAACAGTTGTAGTCGTCCTCCGTCAAACGCATCTCTTTAAGTGCTGCCTTTGGTACGCTTCACACAACAACAGAGCCATCTCCTCCCGGTTTTGTCAATCCCTACACCTCCCTGCTCAGCCTTTTCCTTTCACTTGATGTATTTTCCATGCTAATGGGATCTAAAAGGCGGTGATGTTTATGCAAATATTGTGTAATGGCATAGGTGTTGGTCTCAGATGAGCAAGCAAAATGCCTCTTTTGACATTCAATCAAATCTGTTTACTTGTCAATTTACAGCAGTTGTGGCCCCGGTCTTATGATTGCAGTAGTAAAAGGTTTGCTAGATGAAGTGCAATGGACATGTACACATGATTATAATGAGAGAAAAATTTGAAGAGATTAGCTTGTTTTGTAGATCATAACATTTGCAATATCATTAATTTTTGCATTATGCCCTTCTCATTAAACTCACCGCGTCAACATTTCCAGTGTTCAACTGTTAATGGCTAATGTATCAATAACTTTTATTTCATTAATACTGTATAAGGATTATTAAGCCTATAGAGTGTTTGAATAGTCTTGCTATAGTCACAGTTGGACCCTAGTGTCATTGATTCACAGGTTAACCAGTTGGCAGTAAGAAATTGTGTTCGTCCTTCGACATCCGACTCCAATTAAAGTCACAGTATTCTTCCAATTGATGTCTACGAGAGTACAGTACAGACGCACAACACGTGAACCAAAAACTCTCACTCTCTCTATTTCCCCCTCCCTATCCTTCAATTCATCCAGCCATTTTTCGCTCCCTCTCTCTTTTACTCACACTCTTTGTAGCCTACCCACACAACAAACACTAACTACTCATCTCTGCTGTTGCAGTGTCAGCGTTTCCGCACTGCAGTCCTCTGCAGACCTTTGTTGAAATTCACTTGAGTATGCTTATTATTCCTAATCAATTTAAAGTAAAGACCCTATGCTGTGTTGTCCATACGTAAAAGGTGGTGCTGATATTGATATAGTCAAACACACACAAAAAATTTATATATATATATATATATATATATCGGCATTAAATTTGGGGGACAGGTACGATTGTCTGTTCTTATTCTGCGGTCATGAGCGATGTATGGTTCATCATGATTGTCTGGAATTTATGCCGAATCAGGAGCATTCATCTCTCCTATCCCTCATTCTCTTTTCTCTCAAACGCACACATGCACATAAAACAGAGCATTCTCTTTTACTTTCCATTAGAACTTGGGGCAAGCTGTCATAAGGCCAGGATGAGAGAAAGTTAGTCAACACACAGAGGAAAGACTAGAGAATGTGAATAAAAAATGTTTATGCTGACTGCAAAATTATTACAGGCCATGAGGTGAACAAATGTATGCAAATTCCATTTTTATTATTATTGTTATTATTATTATTTTAGTAATATTTATACTACTAATTTTTGATGGGCCGACAAATTTCCAAGATAGATTTCATGCTCTTTGATGTAAGACTTTTATCGGCAAGTCAAAAAAAAAAGGTGATTGTTTCAGTTTACAACTTGTTTTGTAAGGTCCACCTGTACCATCCATTTTCTAATCCGCTTAATCCTCACAAGGGTTGCGGGGCGTGCTGGAGCCTATTGCAGCTGTCTTCGGGCAGTAGGCGGGGGACACCCTGAACCGGTTGCCAGCCAATCGCATGAAGCACATAAATGAACAATCATCCGCGCTCACACTCTCACCTCGAGACAATTTAGTGTGTTCCATGAACCTGCCATGCATGTTTTTGGAATGTGGGAGGAAACTGGAGTTCTACATATACCTTTGGTGATTAATTTTCGTCTCGTATTCTCAAAATTGTAACGCGTTACAGGACTCACTAACCATAATAATATTACAAAAGTAACTTTTTTTTTTACTATTACGAAATGTAATATATTAGAGTAAGGCATTAAATTATGTTACCCCCAATACTGGCTGTGAGACATGCAGAATGTGGCTTGGTATCGTCTTGTTTAAATAAGCAGGCATGTCACTGAGCCGTTGCTTGGACGACAGCATATTGACGGCCAGAATGCAAATCCTGTCTGACAGCGGTGTCAAATCCACATCCAGGAAGTAAACCCTGCCCAACCTTACACAATGATGCTGGTTCTCAATGCAGTGCCACCTAAAGGATTTATGATGCCACGCAATCATCAGTTTTGGTTTTCAGCTGTGCCACTTAGATGAAGAGGTTTCTCCAAATTCGTGGAATCTTTTGTTTTTTACATGGACCACAGATGAAGGAATTTCAAATTCAATTTTACGTCTACTCAAATATTGGATTATTTGCTCACGAGGTTGTTCACTCAACGGTTAATCTCACCCCCATCCTTCGTTGCTAACAACTCAGCCTTTCGGAGATGCTCGTTTCATACCTAATCATGACGTTCACCCTCATCAGTTGAACATTCACTATTTTGTATTTTGAGTCGTTGAAAATTATTTGCCCATCATCATATTTTGTTTTTGTTTATATTTTACACAAATTGTCGTTTTGTGGAGTGTGGCTGTCATTATTATGTCCCAAAGCAAGTGGGAATGCAACATTTCTTATGCAAAAAAATTAAAGATTAATAATGAAGGAGCAGCAAGGCAGGTTTAATGAGGAGTTGGAAGTTAAAGGGGCAATTCTTTGTTTACCAGAGATAAAGTCCTGGGCTGGCGCTTCTAGAACATATGGATACCCTGACCCTGAAGGACAAGACAAACCAAAGATCATTGTTATCACAAGCAGGCACAGTATGTGTAGTTGCAAACGTAACAGATTGCAAGCCATAACAAAAAACACTTGATGAAAGATACTTGTTCATCCAATGCATGTTTGAAAAAAAAAGACAAAAAAATTAATTCAAAATCAAGGATTAGTTTGTGATTGCAAACAATATATGACTGGGACATCATGAGGAAGATGGTTTTAGCCTTAATGGGAAAATGTCGCTGAGAATTAAAGGGCCTTTGTAATTGGCAGAATATTGGCACTTATTTTATAGGTCTGCACTAGAAATCCACCATAGTGTTCCACTATAGCAGTGGTTCTTAACCTGGGTTTGATCGAACCCCAGGGGTTCGGTGAGTCGGTCTCAGGGGTTCGACGGAGTCTCTGCCATGGAGGTTAAGACACACGCGACTCAACATGTCAATTAGTTATGACACGCCCGCTTGGCCATCACTGGCTGCAGATGATCACATGACATTGTTTGTCCAATTAGTGCTGAGGGAAATTTAGTTCGCTTAGTAGTCAACATGTGACTCTCGTGATTGTACATCGTACAATTAAAAAAAAAAAGTACAATTGTCTCCTGAAATTTTATTTACTTTTTTCTGTTTTTGATAAATGTGTTTTTTTTTTTATATCTTGAATTATATAGATTTATTTTTTTCTATATTGAATTATATAGATTTTTTTTTTTCACTCATGAAGGGTTCGGTGAATGTGCATATTAACTGGTGGGGTTCGGTACTTCTAAAAAGGTTAAGAACCACTGCACTATAGCACTATCCATCCCATGAGTCAAATGTCCACAAAAAAGTATTTAAAAAAATATAGTAGGTGACCTAAAATGAATGATAGGGATGTGACTGCACTTTACACGCTACAAAAGTGCATCCCTGCCTCCCTGTGTCAGGTATGCCACTGAGGATAAGTTGTGATTTTCTTTTTTTTTTTTTTTTTTTTTTGTGCACATCAGTATGTGAAGAGAGAATAAAACAGAATATACATTTGTAAATAAGAAAAATTTGAATGCAGACTTGAACGGCTTTACAGTTTCCAACTATTGATTTTTGAGTGAAGGAATCTATAAAATCTCGTATTGAAATAACTGAAAAACACCAAAAACAAAATACATACCATTCATAAAAATGTTGCCTTTGTCGAACTAATGTATGGTGAGAGTTACAATAAAGATTAAAAACTTACTGTATCTGCAATTACATTGTTTTCATGGGCAGATTTTCCTTAATCAATGCTGACTCATCATATAAACCAGTAGTACTGTAGCCAATGACCCGGTAATTCATGAGAGGCTTGGGTGTGTCATCATTATGATCTCAGCATGGTCACCGCTTTTTAATTCTAGTGCTAAAAAACGGGCTCCATATCTTTTATTTCCTCTGTCTGTGGTGGAAGGAAGCAACCTAGTCGGTGAAGCATCAAAACTTGTTAAAACACTGTTGTTTTTCAAATTTGTCACACAGGGACAACATTAGTACGCTCTTGGGAAAGTGACCCAACTCTACAGGTTTATGAGAAATAATTTCAAATAATGACAAAATATGCAATAGACGGTATAACAGAATGGTTTATTAAACTACAACAGGGGCATTCTAAGTCTTCTAAGTGGGAACATGATGTTTCAGCTTTTGATTGGTACATCTATCCATCCATTATCTGAGCCACTTCATCCTCACGAGGTTTGCGGGGCATGCCGGAGCCTATCCCAGCTGTCTTCGGGCAGTAGGTGGGGGACACCCTGAATTGGTTGCCAGCCAATCGCAGGGCACACACAGACGAACAACTATTCCCGCTCACACTCACACTTAGAGACAATTTAGAGTGCTCCATGAACCTGTCATGCATGTTTTTGGAATGTAGGAGGAAACCAGAGTACCTGCAGAAAACCCACAAGAACATGCAAACTCCACACAGGTAAGCCGGAGCCGGGATCGAACCCGTGACCTCTGCACTGTGAGGTCGACGCACTAACCACTGGCCCACCAGGCCGACCAATTGGTACATGTTTTTTGGAAATTATTTTACAATATGCTAAAATAGGCGGGCCGGTGGGCCAGTGGTTAGTGCGTCGACTTCACAGTGCAGAGGTACCAGGTTCAATTGCAGCTCCTGCCTCCCTGTGTGGCGTTTGCATGTTCTCCACGGGCCTGCGTGGGTTTTCTCCAGGTACTCCGGTTTCCTCCCACATTCCAAAAACATGCATGGCAGGCTGATTGAACACTCTAAATTGTCCTGAGATGTGAGTGTGAGCGCGGATGGTTGTTCATCTCTGTGTGCCCTGCGATTGGTGGCAATTGGTTCAGGGTGTCCCCCGCCAACTGCCCGAAGATGGCTGGGATAGGCTCCGGCACCCCCCGCGACCCTAGTGAGGATAAAGCGGAACAGAAAATGCATGGATGGATGGATATGCTAAAATATTATCACAAAATTTCAATTGGCGACAGCCCAGTGGTTGGCTGGTTACCACACCGGCCTCACAGTGCCTGCGTAAGTTCTCTCCGGGTACTCTGGTTTCCTCCTACATTCTCAAAACATGCGTGGCAGGTTAATGGAACACTTTAAATTACTCCGAGGTGTGATTGTGAGGGCAAATGTTCGTCTTTGTGTGCCCTGCGATTGGCTGGCAACCGGTTCAGGGTGTTCCCCGCCTACTGCCCGAACACAGCTGGGATAGGCTCAGGCACACCCGCAGACCTTGTGAGGATTAAGCGGATCAAAAAATGGATGCATGGATGGTTATAACTTATCATAAATTTAACTAAAACATAGCATTTTGGAAAAAAACTAAAACAAAAAAACTAACCCACTCTGAAAACCAATTCAAATGAACTCTATTTTCAAAACAAACAAACTCAAAAAAATTAAAAGCCAACTCTGATGAAAATTCCAAAACATATAACCCTGCTTCTAAGTTGTGTATACGATCCAAATGTAAATACCTACGTAGATGTCAAACCCAACCCGAGCAAAAATTAATGATTTGGCGTCACTGTTCCAACTTTCCTTAGAAACCACATTTAATAGTACAGTAGTATCGTAATAGATTTTAGTTGTGCATTTTATTCAAAAAGTAATACCCCTTCATGCACCCTGTAACCTAACAGCATGATAATAGGTCCACTGTAGTGACCGCTGTCCCTGAAAAGGTTCAAAAATGAACCCCGCCCTCCCCATCAAAAAAAGCCATCTGATTTGTCCAACAACTGAACCACACTGTGCACTAGAAGCTGTAAAACAGAATAACACTTCAGACTCAGTTGGCAACTTTGGACAAGAGTAAATGACAGCACCATCATCTAAATCTTCACAACAAGAATTGTTCTGGGTGCATTTTGGCTCAACCTGACAGCATTAGATTACAAAAATCAATGTAAGCCAACAATGTGGATCAAGGACTCTCTCAATGCCGACACACACAGCATATTTAGAAAAGTGCCAGAACCGCTATCATGAAACTTTGCAACAACAACAAATCAACAGACGTGCGCAAATGCTACACGTGGCACTGACCCAAATATCGATTACAGTGTCTGTCTCCTTGGTTACCTCATTTAATTTAATTTCAAAACTTTCCCACACTTCAGTAATTATTAAGCAATGCCTTTGCGAGTGTGTTTCATCACATCTGGACTGAACTGAGTGCCAAATGGTGGAAACGGATGTTTAAACAAAACATGTGCACTGAGGTCATTCACTCATGTGGCACACATACTGTAGATGCGGACTTGATGTCACTGACATATTTTCTCATTTAACATCTCTTAGCTGTGACTGTGCATCAAAAATTAAAGCTTTGACCTTCTGGTGTTTGAACAAAGGTCCAAAGCAGGGGTGTTTTGGAGCCTTTTGTGGAGGTTCAAGCGGATGCTGATGCAGTGTATCAGTATATTAGAACGCAAATATGAAACATTTTATTGTATTTGCACAGATCAGTTTGCAAGATTATTTGTTTTGACGTGGGAGTGTGGTGACGTTCACGCAAGGGCACTGCCAGAGACTTTGGGTCCTACCACCTCAATGTCGACAGTCAAATTGAAATCAATACTGGTTCACAATTTTTTACGACATTTTTTTAATCAGAGATGCAATTGTGAGGGCGGCCCGGTAGTCGAGTGGTTAGCACGTCGACTCATCGTGCAGAGGTACCGTGTTCAATTCCAGCTCCGGCCTTCCTGTGTGGAGTTTGGATGTTCTCCCTCTGCTTGGGTGGGTTTTCTCCGGGTCCTCCCTGCATATTTGTGCTCCAGTTTCCTCCCACATTCCAAAAACATCCATGGTCGGTTCATGGAACAGTCTAAACTGTCCCTTGGTGTGACTGTGAGTGTGAATGGTTGTTTGTCTCTGTGTGCCCTGCGATTGGATGGCAACCAGTTCAGGGTGTACCCTCATTTATCAATTCTCTTATTTATTCATCTATTTAATTCTATCCTATTTTATTGTACTATGTTTCCACACAGCCAATGCCTTCCCTGAGATAGATAGATAGATAGATAGATAGATAGATAGATAGATAGATAGATAGATAGATAGATAGATAGATAGATAGATAGATAGATAGATAGATAGATAGATAGATAGATAGATAGATAGATAGATAGATAGATAGATATACTGTAGATAAATAGATAGATCGATAGGTGTGTGCGTGTGTGTGTTGCCTGTCTTATATTGGTCTTTTAGTCTGAGTTTAACTCCAGTGTCTCCTCAAAAGAGCCTCCATGCTGGGAAATGTGTTCGGTCTGCCTGCTGGGATGTCATTGTGCAGATTCCTCACATCCGAGGGACTGGGGGTTCTGCACGCTGTGGAGAGCCCAGCTCGATCTACTCTCTAACTAACTCTACTACGGTCGTGGTGGTCTCTGTGGCAGCATCGGCAAGTAAAATCACACTAAGACAATGTAGTATGCGTGCATGCATGTGTGTGCATGTTCTCTCCCTTGAACAAAACACTCAACCTATCTTTCGATCTGCAATTTCAATTGATCTTTTCATGTTCTAACGATTGTGTAGATTTATATTATATTATGAGTGACATAAAGTAGGCGAGTGGGAGAGGGGGATTAACAAGGCTGAGAGGGTATGAGCAGCCAAGTGGCTTTTGGAAATGAGGTGAGAAAAGGAAAAACAGGAAATGACGATTTAAGAAGAAAAGAAGGAGCAACTGTTGGTCGCTAGGCGCCTGCCTGCATGTCTCCATAGCAACATCAGGCGCCGGTCTGAGATCCGGATGACATCACACCTGATGCGAAACGCTGCTTGCTTGTGGATAAATGCATGTGTCCTGAGAGCCAATTAAATGACATAGCGGGGGCAAAGGGGGAGAGAAAAGGAGACCTGTCGAGATGAGGAGAGAAAAACACGCATCGAAACTTTATCACCTTGGGCTGTATGTGAGTGTGTGCATGCGCTTGTGTCTGCAGATATCATAAGTTCCCACATGCACTCCCTGCCCCCTATAGGGCACTTGCGCATCCAAAAATAATAATAATAATAATAATAATTCAGAGGCAACACCACCTCACCCACAATAACACTAATAGACAATTAGTCGACGATACATCCATGTAAAGTCAACAAAATCTTTTTTCAGTTCAGGTTTGCAGACGTAACCTTCCTTATGCTTCATGTCAGATATATTGCACTTTATCTGTTCAAAACAATGACAGAGCTAAATCATGTTCTAGATTTCAAGCATTCATTGAATGCAATTACCTCAGTAACAATGAAGAACAAGAAAAATCATAAAAGACCTTACAGGGGAAAAAATGATAGCAGGTACAGGCAGAAAGTGAAATACTGAAAACTATATCAAGTTGTCATCTTCCAATTTTCTTTCTGCGGGATCTTTTCTTTTCCACTGGGGCTTTTACAAAGTCAGAGATCAGTTATGTTCAACCTGAGAGAGTACCTGACTCACAATATTAGTTGCAGTTCATCCAAGAGTGGATTTGAAGGATCACAGCTCTATGCAGGCCATTGAAGTTCTTCCACACCAAACAGAAAATGTCTTGTGTGACACAATGATGTTTTAGATAACTGATACATGGTACAACTAAGGTCTTTAAAAACTTCTCCAAATCAAGAAATGTCTCTCAATCGTTGTCTTCCATCCCATGAAATCATGGGAAAACTAAAATGTTCTTAATGGGGAGTATTTAATTGTACGACACGGTATGTTAAGACAAACTTCCATTTAAAGGAATGAGGCACCGTAGCGAAATGCTGCCCCCTGCTGGATAATATGAATAATAAATGGCATGGGGGATTTTTACTCCAGGCGTCAACTCAACTCTACACATTACATTGAATACAGTATGTAGATAATATTATAGCACAATTATGCGCATCATATCCAGCGCACGGATGAAAAAAATCTAATAAAATACTTGCCCCTTCTGCATTTCTGATGTTTTGCTTATCTATCACACTTAAATGTTTCCTATCATCACGACAATTGTAATATGTCGTGAAAGACAAGATCTATTATTTAATACAAACCTATCTGGCGCTGAATGAAAAAGTAATCCCTCGCTCTTTTAGACCAAATGAGCACATTGAATGGTTTCACATCAAACAGTGTAACGGAATATGCAGGACCGTGGACTAATTGTAGGGGGACATGAACAAAATAACAGTTAAAAAAAATGTTTTGAAAGAGTGAGGCAATTTAGTTTTAGTTTTGTTTGTCGACTGAAAACATTTGGTTTTGATATTATGAGACAAGACAACATTCAACATTCTAATCTTTAGCGTGAGGGGTTTCCAGCCGAAACTGATACGCAACTTAAATGGTACCTTTTGTTTGCAGTTGCCCATTTTTACGTGAGCAAAAATCTTATAGCAAATGTATTAGAAGATGTGACTGGCATCCTGTGTTGTGTTGCCAAAGTATGTAAATTGTCCACTGTTATGTGAACAATAAATCGCATTTATGTCTAGTGTGTCTACAAATTTCAAGATGTTGGTTTTATTTGGGCCGACTGCATTTCTACACAAATGAACGCTTTAGGGTGGGCGACTCGTCCAAATTTAAAACCTTATAATCTGAAGCATACATTTTACCTGCTAAAGAATGAATCCCCCATCCACCCAAAAAAACAAACAACTGAAAGAGGCTTCAGGTCGGGGAAAGCCTGGAAAATGTATCACAAAAGAATGCTAAAGTTTGATGTTGGAGTCACAGTGACAGTTTTTGCAAACAAAGAATTTGTAATCAAACATTATTCCCTTCAGTCTATTTTAAGTCCGAAACAAATTCTATTCTAAAAGTGATCAAAAGCTAACATAGAATTTAAATGATTTCTAGAATGTATGCTATTTTTATGTTTTATGTTGTATCAGATGCAGATGTAAATATTGGCATATAAAAGCTCAACTGTTTAATGTCATTTTGTCTTTTTCTTTGTAACTTTTTCCAATCTACAGCAAAATTTGGGATTGGCCTCAATGTCGCAATAGTGCAGAGCTGTGTAATTTAACGGGGAAGGCTAAAAAAAATGAGCGTTGCAATGGTGGCCACATGCCTACAAAAATGTGTGAAAGTAAGGCATATAAATAATGTAAATGCATTGTGAATCCAAATCACTTCACTTCCTGTTTCAACTCCAAACCTTTGTGATCAAAAGATGCTGAATAATTTTTCAGGATACATCTGTTGGTTCAGTTTGCCAACTGCAGGGAAAAAACATTCATGAAAATCCCTCAATAAATACTTATTTAGTCAAGAAGCCAAAACAACTTTGCCAATGCTTTGAAACAACAGAGAGTCAGAAAACCCCCTTGGAAGATGAGCCCCAAAAACAAAAAAAAAGTTCTATCTCAAAGATCATAGATCGAAATGTGGAATTTAGCAAGAGGGACAAGCCTTAACGCCAAGTCAAAAATGTGATTTGCAATAATATTTTTTATGTGCCCCCAACTCCCCACTCAAAAAACATAGTATTCTGAGTAATATTGCATTAGTAGAAAAAGAATTAAGAAGAATAATCCGCGTTTCCCACCTTCCAAGGAGACTGAAATTTTATGCAGAAACTCCCCCTTGCTGTTGAATCACTATTAAATATGAGATGAGCGGCTTGGGGGAAATCAATACAATTAATTGACTGTTGAGGTTTTCATGTGCAGCTCCACAGACACGGGATCACTGGAAGCTGACTCACCTACTAGCATGAAACAATCAAAGTTCTGCATGAGCTATTTGCACACCTTGCACACCAAGGCATACATAATTGTTGTGTCAAAAGTGACACCAAGTGCATTGAATGTCTTTAAACAGTGGGTGGTGCTATATTTCCAGAGAAGAGGTGGCTGCGCCAGGTTTTTGAATAAATGTGTATGCCGTTTATGGGACCAGGAGAAGAAAAAGCAGTCACAGAATTAGTCACGTGGACCCACAGGTTACAAATATTGTCTCTTTTTTTTTGCATTGGTGTATCCTGTGAGTTTATCTATTGCAGGTCTTATGTTTTTGTGATCTTAAAAAAAATATATATATATATATAAAATATAAAAAGATAACACGCACACACACACACACACACACACACACACACACACACACACACACACACACACACACGCACACATTTGTATAAATTTGAATAATTTATACAAATGCTCAGAATGTCCAACAGGACAAAATGGTGCAGATAATATAAAAAATATAATAATAATAACACGAACACCAACAAATTATTTGTAACATTTCACATGAAGAGAAAGAAGGTTAAGTGAGTTTTCTCAGGCTGGTAAATAGGCACACACACGATTGCTAAATTAGCCCGCAGGCTCGCTGTGTTCGTACTTCAGTATATTTGCATTAGCGCAATTGTGTTTGCTTGGAGGGACTGACTGTCCCTAAACTGCATTCATGTTGACATGTGCTCATATTTCTTAATGAGAACCAGTAAGCTTGGGGTCATTCACTTTGTTATTAATCTCCCAAAAACATTTACCACATTCCCACTGCAGTCACCACATTGACATCATCAACATGTTTTTCCTCACAATGAATCTAGTTTTTAAGGAATGCGGATTTTGTTCGGATCCTCCCACCATGGGTGAGTTACTTGGCACGGTATATACAGTGCGCCGCACGTCTATTTTGTAAACCAACTCAACCCAACTCTGACAAGTAGCATGTCCTTTCATCATGAGTCCTAACACTTACTGCGACACTTGGCGCAGCGTCCTTTGTCATATTCCAGTAGGTCGAAGGTTCGGCTTCGCTCACTGACCGATCGCCTCTGCCCACTCTCCCTCAGCCGAGCTGCCTCTTCCTTGGCGTACACCCCCAGCTCCTGGGTGTAGCGCCCATACATCTGTAAAAAGTCATAGGAATATGAATTAAAGGATAGATAAAATGTCAATAAAAACCGAGAACAGCATGGCAACAAGGACTGTTCCCTTTTTCAAATGACCATAAATGTGTGACTTGATCACATAAGAAAGGACAGAGAACCAAGGACAGATTGCGTGCCATTGTGCTGCTTTGGGTGAGAATATAAAATGAGCAGAGAAAATGACCAGGGAGACCTGTGAACAATGCCTGATCTGGGGGTCATAGGGCTGATGAAATGAAATGAATTGAATTGAGCATACAGGCTGTAAAAGCACACATACAAATTCAGCATGAATCCCAAATTACACACAGCCTTAAGGAAAAAAAAAAAAAAACACAATCCAAAAGTTATTATTCAGCCGTGCAAGAGACAGGAAGTACCAAGTTGAGCACTCGTCGAAGACCACCCGTCCTTCCTTTATGCGAGTGTCCAGGAAGAGGGGCACCAGTCAAAACAACAGAACGAAGGATGTACAGACAGGTAAAAGGTCACACAGGCTGATTTCAGTAGCATGAGATTTGCTGAGGTTTGATGAACAGACACATTTCATGTCTAGCCTTTTTGATGCACATTAAACAGTTGGATTACATCCATTGCCCCCCAAAAGAGTAAACCTTATTTGATCTCTAATTTAAATTTTAATCAGTGGCGCTCATTTTTTATTTTTTTTGGAGTGCAGCATTAGACCGTCTCTGCATTTTTTTTCTTTCTTCTTTTCGAGCAGCGTTAGACCGCCCGTGAGTGTTCTGTACATAGTTCTGACCTTTGACTTTCAAAAGAAGTTATCTGTAAATGAATTGGAAAGCTACACCCGAATGCTTCACAGAATTCATGTGAATTATTTTGCTCATTATTGTTAGTAAGTTGCATTTTCGGATAGTATTCCAACAGCGACAGGCGGAACTTGACCGGCTCAAGTAAAGTGGAAACTGCTGAAGATTAACAAACGCTGATCAAAGTTTTCTTGGGGCACCCAAGTCGAAGGAGAAGGACAGTCACCAGAATTATAATTAAACCAAAACTCTGGAAGATGTCATGTTCTAATGTTTGATATGTGGATTCTTTATTTGCCATGATATGTTCCAAATAAAAACATAATCAAAAAAAAAATAATACACAAATGAATGGAAATGCAATTCATCCATTCCAGTACCCTGCCAAGCATACAAAATTCCCTTTTAACATTTTTTTTCCATTGGAAATATCCCACTCTATTGTATTGTTCTGAAAAGGCACAGTAATATTTGCTCTTCACTGAACCTGCAAAGACAGAACATGTGGGCAGCGAATACAAATGTACCTCATGTTTTTTGTTTCCCCCTTTTTTTTTCTTTTTCTGTGGAATATTTTGGCTGTCGGCAAACCCACTGAAAATGGCACCAACTGACTTTGTCCTTCCACTGCAACGAAACCAATGTGAAATCGATGTGGGCTGGATGAAAATGTGCTGCTGCCATCCAGCAGTGGGAGGGGTCAATGGAGGGGGGGGGGTCTGAAGTAGCTCAAATTGTGTGTCAAGAAAAAAAATGTCAAAAGATGACTCATATCTCCAAAAAAGTCAAGACACTTCTATGTCAAGGCACCACTGTAGAAATTACCTGCCCGTTTAGACAAATTAGAAAAGGAAACTGGTGGTCCACAAGCCTCACTCGTTGGATGTGAATCACGTCCAACTTGTAACATTTCCAGTAGGCTAAATTTCTAAAGCTAGACACACCGTGCAGTTGCCCACAGCCTTAGAGCAAGAATACAATTTCCTGGAACCTCGGTCAAGAACACGAGTTTCTAATATGGCTAATACTTGGCAGTCGCTACATCCAAGCAAAACGTTCAGCTGTGCTTTCACTCGCATAGCACAAACAGCAGGTCTTTCAAGTATCTGCTTTTTTCTGTCAATGGCTACAAAAGAAAGTGCAAGTGCTGTTAGTTGGCCTATTTACCTCACTGTTGAAAAACATGAAACTCATGAATAAACATGAGAACAGTGATGTTGTTCCTGATCTCACGACACAGTTTGGTAAGCAAAATCCACCATATTTTTCAGGGAATGCTTATCAAGTAATAGAAAATGGATCCAACCACATATGAACTTCATCTAGCATCTCTCCATAAAATCCCTCAAAGCGAGCATCTGACCAGGAGAGGAAAACAATCATATCAAACCACAACAATTGGATTATTGTGTATACTAAGAAATCCTCAGCTGAGCCTGCTGTCTTGGGTTTGTTGATCCAAGATGAACATGATGTCCTCGACATTACCCGAACCATTGCCCTTGAAGCAAGGAGTGGAGAGTGAAATCATTCCTGTATTGTTGCTGTCCGACGAACAATGCCCCTTTTTGGGTGAATTAACCATGTCTGATTTCGATCTGCATCTATTTCACAATATTGCAAATACAGTTGCCTATTCAAAACATGCCAATATATTGCAACACTGCTGCCATTTTCCTTTGGGAATCCTGAGAGCAGAGGTGTCAACCTCTGGGCTTTCCTGCATGTTTTCCCCCATTGCTTCCTGCTGCAACACACTTGATTCAAATGATCCGCTCATCTGCAAGCTCTGCGGGAGCCTGATAACAAAGCTGATCATTTGAGTCAGGTGTGTTGCAGCAGAGATGGAAAATGTGCAGGATAATGCCCCTTGAGGGCCGGAGGTTGACACTTGTGTCCAAGAGGAAGATAATTGCGGCCAGTCAATGATTCACCAGGATACAGTGCAAGGGGGTATTTAGCTATGGCGTTGTTGAAGATTGAAGAACATAAATTGGGATGCAAACAAAACATTTTCAATGGTAGTAAACCACTATCTTAGACTTGCAAGAAAGACATACTACAATAGTCGCTGTGTGCCCTCGTTTCAGTTAAAAACAAGCTCTTAATTCTGCATCTTCCCTCAACCCCCTGTATGGCCTCCTTCAGATTAATTGGAAGTCTGCTGAAACAGCTTTTTGTGTTGAGTTGCTCTACAAATTATTATTAGGCTGACATTGTTTCTGTTCATTTTACAAATAGCCATAAAATCCATTTTGGATAGTTCTTATCCACATTAGGATTGTGGGGCAGCTAGAGCCTCTTCCATCAGAATTTGTGAGAGATATGTTGTTTCAGCTGGACTGGCTGAAGTACCTGAAGTGGCTGAAGTACGGTAGACACCAACAAGTGGTCAGTGTTTGCTTGGTAAAATACATAATGCCTCCCACTGAACTATGCATCTTTTTAAAAATTGTTAACATTGCAGCGAACCCAATGAACTTCTGGTCCAACTTACGAAAGTCGTTCCGGTGTAAGTATCCGGTACATTTACCGTAGTTGGTGGCATCTTGCTGTGTCAAACATGAGATAAGGAACCTAAACAAAATTTTGCCAGCGAGGTATAAGGACATTATGGACAGTGTGGGAGTCAATTAAACGGCACTGTATTGACATTCTGCCAGTTTATTGGAAACAACTGTTTTTTAAAATGCATGGATTTGAAGTGTTTAAAGGGCTCTTAAGTACCGTTCTTTCCGCATTATAAATGCAAGTATAGGGCGCACCTTCAATGAATGGCCTATTTTTAAACTGTTTTCATATAAAGGGTGCACCGCATTATCAGGCGCATAGAGGAGGAGCGACAATAGTGGCTGTGGGTGCATTATGCATCCACTAGATGGAGCTGCACTAAAGAGAATACAATAAAATACAGCTTTATTTACACAGAGCTTTCACAACCGCTGCAGTTGTATCAAAGTGCTTTACAGAACATTTAAAAATACTACGTCCAACAACCATATATAAAGCGCATCGGATTGTAAGACGCACTGTCGGCTTTTGAGAAAATTGAATGCTTTTAGGTGTGCCTTATAGTGCAGAAAATATGGTACATGGATGTGTTGATATGTCACGAAGTGGTCGTGATGGCTATTTTTCACCACTCAACATACAGTCCCACACAAACGACAGCACAAATCTCAGTCAAGTTATTTTATCCCGGCAGCATGTCTGTAATATTGTAAGCAGTGAAATCTGATGATTGAGTGTGAAGGGAAGACAATATTGACTCTCAAAGTGGGTCAGCGTTTGACCAACTTGTTGGACCATACACAATGAGAACCACCCTTACCCTTGTGAGATTGGTTAAGGGTGACCAAAATGCCACTTCATGCACAACCGCAAGCCTTTGGAGTGTCCAGCATTGAGAACATGCTGGAACACTGGAAGCTTCAACACGTTAGGCTGAGAGAAATATTCCTTAATTCACCTCGGAAGAAACCCGCTTGCTCTTGAGTCCCTCATTATTTAACAGATACGGTAACAAAGCGTATGCAGGAAAAGCGGTTAAGATTTCATGACTGTCTGTGTCTTATGTGTTGTGTTGTATGATTTTGTGATCTTATGTAAACTGTTCTGTAAAGCGCTTTGTTACAGCTGAAGCTATATCAATAAATACGTATTGTATGTTTTCTTAAAATGGCTCCTTTTTTGACAGCCATTCGTTCTGCAGATGTTTAAGATTTTCATCCGCCTTCAAGAAATTTAGCTTCAAAATGTGGAACAACCTGCTGAAGTAACTTGGGCTCACTAGGGAAATATACCCAGAAAAACTACAACTTACCGTATTTAACTAAACAAGATTGCATCATATTTTTAAAAGATATATATATATATATATATATATATATATATATATACACACACACACACACACACACACACACACACACACACACATACATACTGGACAGGTTCAGTGGAAACTGCAATGCCAATGAACCAAAAATTTGTATTACAGTACATATCAAAAACAAAAACCAAAATCTGCCTGTTACTGAAGCTTGAAAAGCGAAAGGTTGTGGGATGTACAATAAATAAAGATTTTTCAACGCGCCTGTGGGACACCATGGGAGGCTAATCGGGAAGTCTTATGTGCTTGTGCCAGACTGCCATGCCAACCTTCAAAGGCCTCTTTTCCACTTACCCAGAGCTGGACAAATGCTA